AAATTAAAAATGTTAAGTGCTCTGGGAATCCAGTGGTGGGGATGGAGGCAGGTAGGATGATTCCCGCTGCCTAGATACACTGAACTCACCGGAAACACGTGGAACTATAGGGGGACAGGCATCCTCTCCCCAGATCTGGAAGGTGGGGGAAAGACGGTTCAAGTATTTACCCAACATGAGCAGCCCCAGACTGGGAAGAGGGCAGACCCGCTCCAACATTGGAGGGAACCGGCCCCAGCTACATTTTTATTGGTTTTATGAAACAATAGACAGCAAAACAGCATTTATGAGAAAATATATGCTGAAAATATAAAGAACAACAACACAGCAAGCACCTGTGGAGTCGGCCTGGGTGGCCGCAGGGAGCTTGCAGTCAGGACAGTAGTGGGGCCTGAGAAGCCTTCATTGCCTCTCGGCTAGTTTCCTTTCCTTTCCCTTCAGACAGGGCCAGCGACTTGAATTCTGTGCGTTTAGTTCCTTGCTGTGTTTACTAGTCTAACCACAGTGTCTGTCCCTGACACTCTTCGTACTCTACCCTTGGTGCGACACCTCCGAGATCTTCAGGGTTCGTGGACTTCTTCCCACTGTTGTGGCCGCTGGCTTTTGTCGATGATACCTCGCTTCCCTTTTATTTCCTGATTTTTGACAGTGAACTCAGGTTCCTTCGAAGGTTATTTGTGGGGCTGGGCACAGTCGTGCACGCCTGTCATCCCAGGGACCGGAGGTTGAGGCAGGAGGATCTCAAGTTCGAGACTAGCCACCTCAACTTAGCAAGACCCTGTCTCAATATTTAAAAATTTTATTTTTTAAATTGGGGATGTAGCTCAGTGATAAAGGTTCAATCCCTAGTACCAAGAAGAAGGAGAAGGAGAAAAAGAATATCTGTGGGAATTCTTTGAGTCCTAAAATGTGAAGTCCTCCCAAGATACTTTGTTTCTGCCAAGTTTCTGGAGACCCAACTAAGGGACCTCTTTAAACCCCTGCAGCTTGGAGATTTTCAGGTGGATCACGTAGTGCGTACTGGAGAGGCAGCACCAGGTTAGAGGCTGGGCCTTCTCTCCCCTGGGGTTTATCTAATCTCAACACCCCGGGTTTCTGAGCCATGAGGAGGACAGATCTTACCATCCCTTATTACAGAGGATAAAACAAAGGCTGAGCAGGTACCAGTCCCCGGCAGCACAGTGCAGGCTCACAACAAGTGCTAGGGAGTTATCTTTGGTGCTTGTCGCAAACTTGTCTGAGAAGCATGACTGTAAAACGGAATTTGAAAATCTCAGGTGACCTTGGGTTCCTGGTTCCAGCCCAGCCGTGCGCACAGGGGAGTCTCAGGTCTCGGCCATTCCAGACTTGCTCCAGTCGTGGTGTCCACCCTCTCTCCCAGGCAGTCAGTGATCTTTGACAAATGAGATCACGTTACTCCTGCTCCCGCCCTTGGGGGGTTCTCACTCACTGTATCTGGAACCACCATGGGAAGTCGCGTACTGACTGCGCTCCAGAGCCCTGCCTGCCTTCCCTCCCAGGCCCGAGAAGGAACCTGGGGCCTTTGCATTCATTCTCCCTTCGGCACCCCCCAGGAACCTGGCTCCTTCCCTCACTCCTGCCTAAGCCGGTCAGTCCCCAGCGGCTGTCCCTAGGAAACATGTGTCACTGTCCCTTACTTAGGTACTCTCTCCTGCTGGAATGTCAGCCAGGAGGGTGGGGACCTGGATGCTGTATTCACACCTGTGACCTAGGAATCAGGACCGGCCAGGTATGCCCAGCTCAGCTGAGTCCTCCCTGGGGCAGGCACTATTCTAGTCTGACGTGAACTGCGTGAACCCCTCCTGGGCTCAGAAACAACCAAAAAGGAAAGTGCCACCATCCCCACTCCCCAGGGGAGGCAAGTGATGAGGAGAAGCGGAGCCCGGGAGTGAACAGACAGGGTCTCTGCCTCCTGGAGCGCACTTTCTTGGCACAATCGCCAAGACTCGGAACCTCGTCTGGGCCTCTTTTTTTTTTTTGTACCAGGGGTTGAACCCAGGGGCACTTTACCACTAAGCCATATTCCCAGTTCTTTTTCTTTTTTTTATTTTGAGACAGGGTCTCACTTAGCTACTGAGAGTCTCACATAAGTTGCTGAGGCTAGACTCGAACTTGCAATCCCTCTGCCTTAGCCTCCCGAGTTGCTGGGATTACAGGCGCGGGCCACTCACTGCGCCCGCCTTGGTCTGTGCTTTCAATCACCACCACATAAATACTCTCTTTAATAAATATTCACTGAACATAGGGATGGCTCAGTCAATGTCCCCCAACTGCTTCAGCAGATGCTCCTCAGTCACCACGGACTCAACACGCACAGAACTAAACTCTGGTCCTTCCTGCAAAGACTTCTCATTTTCCATTCTCAACTCCTTCCTCTTCCTCTGAGCAGAGCCCATGGGTTCTACCCCTGACTCTCCTCCCCACCTCTGCGGAGTCCAGGGTGCCTCAGGCCCACCCCTGCCCTCCATCCCTCACCAGAAACATTCTCCCAGGACGCCCAGGTGCTTTCTCCTCCTTCAGATAAACCCCAGACCTTGGTCTGTCCCTCAAGGCTCCAGCCGTCTGCCCCCCACGTCTGCCTCCTGATCCACCTCTCCCTAACCCTAACCTTCCTGCTCACCCGTCCGTGCCCGTGCTCCACCTGTGGCCGCTGTGTTTCCGTCTCTGCTCCGCTGTCTCAGGGCTCAGCAGGGGGAGCTCTGTAGGGGCGTCTTCCCGCTCGCCCACCCTCAATGCCGCCTCCCTCCGCAGCAGCCAGCTCCTGCAGCTCGCCCACCGCGGGCTCCCTCTACCCATCAGCCTCTCCATTAGTAATCTTCTGCTCAGTGCTGACCAGCTTTCTTGCCAGCAGCCACACCCTGTGAGAGCAGAGGTTTTGTCTGTCCTGTTGACTGTGGGTGAATGCATAGTTTACATTAATTATTCATATGGATTTTGATCTATAAACTCAATTTCTCTATCGAAAAGAGAATGGTGGGGATATATCTCATCAGTAGAGCACTTGCCTACTAGGCTCAGTGCCCTAGGTTCAATACCCAATGTTGAGAAAAAAGAAAGTCTTTGGAAAGCAGTTCCCCAAAGACTTAGACCTTCCCGTGTAGGCGGGGCATGTGCTTGGGTGAGGGCGAAAGCTGCACTTCCCTCTGCTGCCACAAGGGGGTGGGCAGCGCCTTTCTTTAAAGGCCCAAGAAGGGGTATCTGTCCCAAAGAGAATCACCTCCCCACAAATTTGACAGGCAGTGGGGTGGGCGGTTCTTCGAGGAACTGGACCCGATTGAGGCTATCACTGACGCACTAGGTCCCCCCAAGGAAGTCTGCGACCCATCTAGACTGTGGCGCTCTTGGGGGTGGGGACGGGATCTTCCTGGGGTGCACTTCCAGGAGGTGACACTGAAGTGCTATTTGTTTGTTTTCTCTTCTTTCCTTCTTTTTTCTTTTTTCAGTACCAGGGATTGAACCCAAGGGCACTGGACCACTGAGCCACATCCTCAGCCTTTTTTATTTTGAGGCGGGTCTCACTAGGTTGCTTACAGCCTCGCTGGGGCACATGAGCTCTCAACTTTTGCAGCCTTTCTCCTGCCAAAGGACAGAAGCCTGGGTTCTGCCACTTAACTGCTGTGAGTTTAATTTTTTGCCCCCAAAAAGGAAAGAGTGGAGTTCTAGCTCCCAGCCCTCAGAATGCAGCCTTATTTGGAGATGGGCTTTTTTATGGAGGTAGTCAGGCTAAGATGAAGTCACTGGGGCAGGCCTTCATCCAACACGACGTGTCCTTGTGGAAAGAGGAAAGGGGAGACAGACAGGGTGTCTTCTCATCCTGCAAAGATTCCAGATATGTTGCCGCGAGGAGACAGGCCTGGGACAGACCTTTCCCCCACACCCCCGGAAGGAACATGGCCCTGTCAACACCTTGACCTTGCCCTTCTGGCCTCCAGAACCATGAGAGAAACTGCTGTTATTTAAACCACTCCGTTGATAGCATTTTTTGATGGCAGCGCTGGGAAACTAGTACTCGGACTGGGAGAGCTTCGGGCCTCTACACCCACCTCTGTAGACTAGGGACAATATCACACCCTTCCTCAGAGAGAGGCAATGAAATGATGGCTGTAAGTGCCAAGCACGGACCCAGCTCCATGGGCAACTGGGATGGATGGGACTTAAACAGCGGGTCACTACCCAGACCAACCCCTACTCTGTCCACACACAGGAACAACCTCAGGGAACTGGGGGGGGGGGGTCAACTGAGCCTCAGGCTCCTTCCTTTCTCCTTGAGGGATTCCAGGAGAAACCGGGCACAGTGGTGCATGCCTGTCGTCCTAGCTACTTAGGAGGCTGAGGCAGGAGGATCACTTGAGACCAGGTGGGCAACATAGCAAGACCCGGTCTAAAAAAATAAATAAATGAATAAAATAAGCCAGGCAAGGTGGCACTCCTGTAATCCCAGACACTCGGGAGACTGAGGTGGTAGGATCACAAGTTCCAGGACAACCTCAGCAACTTAGAGTGACCCTGCCTCAAAATAAAAAATAAAAAGTTGCTGGAGATATAGCTCCATAATAAGAGTGCCCCTGGGTTTAGTCTCCAGTACCAAAAAATAAGTGGTACAAAAACAGACCATGCTGGGTGTGGTGGTGCATGCCTGTTATCCCAGATTCTTGGGAGGCAAAGGCAGGAGGATCACGAGTTTGAAGCCAGCCTCAGCAATTTAGCAAGGCCCTAAGCAACTTAATGAGACCTTGTTTCAAAATAAAAAAAAGTAAAAAGGGCTGGGGAGGTGGCTCAGTGATTCAGCAACCTGGGTTCAATAAAATAAAGCTTTAATGTTGAAGCATCACCCAGGTTTTTGTGTAGCACAGGATTCTATTAAGAAGCAGATGACACTGTATGGGGTTTGCCTCCCACAACTGGCAGGGCTCAGCAGAACAACGGGCAACACCACCATTTTTGCAGATTGCCGCTGATTAAAGCACCAAACAACAGAATCCATTGCAGTTGGTTTAATATAAGGCCAGAGCATCTAAAGTCACAAAGACAGCAAATATGTCCCACATCACAGGGGTTGGAAGATCTCTTTCTGGAAGATGCCCGGGCCACCACCGCTCGCCATGGTTGACGCTCAGAGCTGGATGCCATCTGGGGAAGAGGTGACCATAAGGTTAGGGCTGGGGCCTGCAGGCAAACCCCTGGCCCTGTAGTGTCCTGTCAGGGGACATGCTCACTCACTCATCCACTGCACAAATACACAGGGACTGTCTCCTCTGTGCCTGGGACTGTGCTGGGAACCGAGGGATCAAGAACACAGAGGCACACGGTTCTTATCGGGTGCTTAGAACCTACTGGACACGGCAGCATCGGAACAGTGAGCCCCTGGGGAGAGGAAAGGGGTTCTGCGCCAAGGATCCTGAACAGATCCTTGCACCTGACAGGTCGAGGCCACCCCAGAAATGAGCCATGCAGGTGCTCGCCCATCAGGGGACCCACAAGAAGGGAGCAATCCTCCAAGCCTGGGTAGGGAAGGCGCAGAGCCACTGAGCAGGGACAGGGGAGCAGGTGAGGTGGTGGGGATTCTGTCGAGACACTTCTGGCAGTGACCTTCTGCCCAGCTGACCAAGGAGGACGTGCCAGTCTGTGGTTCACAGGCAGGTCGCCACTTCCTCCTCCAAGGGCAGGAGAGCCCCGGAGGCTGAGAGTCACTGAGCAGGTGTGGGGCGTGTGGGGTCCCCCACCCACCTCCTTCCCCAGACCCCCCCTTCGGCCCATCGCGAGCCTCACCAGCGCTGTGGCCATGTCCCCCACAGACCCGCATGCACTCCTCCTCCTTCAGGAAGGAGTTCTTCTTCCTCCTGCAGCCACCGTACACAAAGGTCTCGCAGTGTCCCGAGTTGGCATTGTAGAAGAACATCCTCATCGAGGCCCTGCAGGGGCCCGTGTAGGGAGGCTCCAGGCAGAAGGCCGGCGGCGCATCTGCAGGAACAGAGAAGGCCCTCGGTCAGCTAGGAAGGATGGTCACACAGCAACAGGCACACAGCAAGTGACGGAAACCTGGCAAGTCCAGCAACAGGGATGGGGGAAGGGTAGAAATGCGATAACCTGCTTCCTGGGACATTATTATTGATCCTGTTGGGTATGGCAATGAGATGGTGATAATGTAAAATAAACCATACGTCCTCAGGGAAGCGTTTGCTGATTAATTTGAATGATGCCTGAGCTGGGCGCAGTGGCGCATGCCTGTAAATCCAGCAGCCTGGGAAGCCGAGGCAGGAGGATTGAGTCAAAGCCAGCCTCAGCAACTTAGCAAGACCCTAAACAACTCAGTGAGACCCTGTCTCTAAAAAAAAAAAAAAAAAAACAAAAACATATTTTTAAAAAGGGCTGGGGATGTGGCTCAGTGGTTAAGCATCCCTGGGTTCAATCCCTGATACCTGCCCCCACAAAAAACCCTGAGATTTTATTTTTAAAAACTCCAGAAAATATAGGAAAAAAAGGAGAATATATATATAAACAGTGTTCTTTGTATGTCAATTATTTGAGCTGAATAATGGGTTCATAAAGGTTTATCATACTATTCTCTTTACTTTTGCTCATGTTTGCTTCATTTGAAAAGTTTTAGCCAGGCGCAGTGATGCACACCTATAATCCCATCAGCTCCAGAAACTGAGGCAGGAGGACTGCAAGTTCAAAGCCAGCCTCAGCAAAAGTGAGGCTCTAAGCAATTCAGCGAGACCCTGTCTCTAAATAAAATACAAAATAGGGCTGGGGGTGTGGCTCAGTGGTTGAGTGCCCCTGAGTTCAATCCCCAGTACACAAATAAAATTAAAAGTTTTAAAAGAGCCCGGTGCAGTAGTGCATGCCTGTAATCCCAGAAGCCCAGGAGGCTGAGGCAGGAGGATCACAAATTTAAAGTCAGCCTCAGCAACTCAGTGAGGGTCCCAAGCAACTTAGCGAGACCCTATCTCTAAATAAAATATTAAAAAGGGCTAGGGATGTAACTCAGTGGTTAAGCACCCCTGGGTTCAGTTCCTGGTACCAAAAACTAAAATCAAAAGGGCTGGGGATGTGGCTCAGTAGTACAGCACTCTTGGAATCAATCCCCAGTTTAAAAAAAAAAATTCTTTATATCTTACTCTCTTCCACTATTATAATGAGTATATATTTTTTTATAATTCAAAAAGTAAATATTACAAAATACATTACAAGCTTTGTAAACTAATAAATAAATAATATTCTGGAAGACTATTTGACAGTGGAAAATGGTTGCAGTGTACTTTGGACTAAGAAAAACACTGTATCTGGTGACATCCTGTGTTGGTGAGGAGTAGAGCCCACGCTGAGTGTGGCAGTCAACCCTTTTAGCAGCAAACTTCACTTTTAAATGAGCGTTGACCACAAGAAAGTTGTCTGGTAGGTCCCTGGATGTGGGCTCCAGAGCCCCTTCCTCAGCATTCTCACTAGCCCCTGCCCCCATTTGTCCCTCCCCTTCCCTTCTGGGTACACCGTAGGGCTTGGAAGCAACATGGGAACCCCCAGACTACATGTTCTCTAAGGTGCCACTCAATGGCTGCGTGACCCCAGGTAATAAGTTAACCGTCCTGAGCCAGCGGTCCCGGACACCAGTTGAGTTCCTGGGGCTGATCATACTGTCCACCAACCGGCTAGACAACCTGGGGCCCCACAACCCATCTCAGTTTTGACAATTCTCTAGAACAGTTCACAGAACTCAGGAAGGCCCTTTGTTTACTGTCACAGTTTATTATAAAAGACACAACTCGGGGACAGCCCAAATGAAGAGATCTGTGGGGGGTGAGGCCTTCCATGCCCTGCCAGGGCGCACCTCCCGCATAGCGCATGGATGTGTTCACCAACCTGGAAGCTCCCCAAATCCATCCTTTAGGGGTTTATTCATCATGACTGCAGCATGATGGATTTGATCATCAGCCCTTGGTGACTGCACTCAATCTGGGAGCCCCCTCGCCTCCCTGGAAATCAGGGGTAGGGCCGAAACTTCAGGCTCTCTGATCACCAAGTTGGTCTGGAACTCCGCGGGGGAGGAGGGCCTCCCTTCAGTCACACAGTGGCATACAGGACAGTGAATGCCAAGAGTTCCAGGGGCACATGCCAGGAACTGGGAACTGAAACTAAATATTTACTCTTCTATACCACAGGGAGTTTCAGGGAAGGGGCCGAGGCCAGGGAGGGTGAAGACCAGGAACAGACAATTTCTCAGAGAGGGGTCCAGGATCTGATAAGCATTTAAACTGGGGATTGAACCTAGGGCTGCTTTACCACTGAGCTATATCCACAGCCCTTTCTTTTTGAATCAGGGTCTCTCTATGTTGCTGAGGGTCTTACTCAATCGTTGAGACTGGACTTGATCTTGTAATCCTCCTGCCTCAGCTCCTCAGTCGCTGAGACTGCAGGCGTGTGCCACCGTGCCCAGCAGCCCTGGTGAACTTTTTAGAGTCATGACGCTAAAGCCCTGGAGTTAAAGCCCATTAGTCCTACATTTGCAGTTCTACAAACGTTTGAACACAAATGCATCAACATAGGATGGAACCCCGCACAGTGGTGCACACCTGGAATCCAACCAACTGTGGAGCTGAGGTGAGAGGTTCAAGACCAGCCTCAGCACTTTAGTGAGACTCTGTCTCAAAATTTAAAAAGTAAAAAAGGGCCGAGGAAGCAGCTCAGTGGTAAAGCACCCCTGGGTTCAATACCTGGTATTGAGTGGGGGGGAATTTATATTTTTTTTCTTTAGTATTTTTTTAATTGTAGTTGACATAATACCCTTATTTTATTTATTTATTTTTATGTGGTGCTGAGGATCGAACCCAGGGCTTTGCACATGCAAGGCGAGTACTCTACCGCTGAGCCACAACCCCAGCCCTATATATGGATTTTTTTATCTTTTTATTTTTTTGTGGTGGGGGGTATGAGAGATTGAATCCAGGGGTGCTTAACCACTGAACTATATCCCTGGCCCTTGTTACTTTTTTATTTTGAGGCAGGGTCTCAGTAAAGTGCTAAGGCTGGCTTTGAACCTATGCTCCTCCTGTTTTAGCCTCCAGAGCAACTGGGATTCCAGGCTTGGACCACCCACCCCTAGCTACATTACTGTATGTTATCCCAGTGAATACAAAGAACCAGGCGCTGTTACACACTCATAATCCCAGCAACTCAAGAGGCTGAGGCAGGAGGATCGAAAGTTTCAGGCCAGCCTCAGCAATTTAGCTAGACCCTAAGCAATTTAGCAGACCCTATCTCAAAATAAAAAATAAAAAGGGCTGGGGATGTGGCTCAGTGGTAAAGCATCCCTGGGTTCTATCCTAGATACCAAAAATAAAACAAAAACAAACAACAAAAATAAATACAACTAAATCCTTGAAATCAAGCTGAAAACCTAGAGAACACTTTCCTGAATACATCTTATGTATTCCATGTCCACTATGTACGTACTAGTTTGTTCCTTTGAACATCTACAAGTAACTTTTGCAGCAAAATCTATGTCATTTTCACTTGGATTTAAAAGTATTTTCAAAACTCTAATAATTCACCTATTACTTTTCTCCAAAGAATGGCCTGGCTGGGTACGGTGGTGCACACTTTAATTCCAATGGCTCCAGAGGCTGAGGCAGGAGGATTGCAAACTCAAAGCCAGCCTCAGCAACTTAGTAAGGCCCTAAGAAACTCAGCAAGACTCTGTCCCTAAATAAAATATTTTAAAAGGCTGGGAATGTGGCTCAGTGGTTAAGTGCCCCTTGTTGAATCCCCAGTACAAAAAGGAAAAAGAAAAAAAAAACAACAAAGAATAGTCCTCTAAGAACATAATAATTATTTCAGAGTTACCATAAGTGGTATATCTGTTGCTCAATTTGTTTTTATAGGTATTCCACATCTGGGACAAAATGGGTTTAAAACGTCCTAATTCCCCAAGAACAATCCAGAGAGATCTGACTCTACACACACACACACACACACCCTGCTCCTTCAGGCTCTCCTACGGACCTCCTAGGAGAGGTGAGCCAGGACTTACCTTGGGAACTGGTGCCCACCACCAAGATGGCCAGGAGGACCAGGAGAGCCGCAGAGAGACAGAGCCGGTTCATCTTCCTGAGGAGGAGGAGGGAGGCTGCTGTGGGACCCTTGGGACTGGCAGCTTTTCATACCCAAGCTGAGGGGTGGGAACTCACGTGATGGGAGGAGAGCAGAAGGGGGAGGAGCTGGGGTCCCACCCACCCATTGCCTTATCTCCCACCTGCCCAGCATTCCTGCCTCGCCTGCTTCCCCAAAAGGCTCGACAATCGTGCTTTGCACACAGTACCAGGGTGAGTCGCCTGGCATTTCCTTCAAGTGCAACCTCTGGGCTAGGCCTGAGCTGCTACCCTCCCCACATGTGCCTCAGAAACCACAGTTTCCTCTCCTATGAAATCAGCTGCTGATGAGGGGGGCTGGGGGGAGGGCTGGGGCTGGGGCTCAGCAGCAGAGCGCTTGCCTATCGTGTGCAAGGCCCTGGGTTCCACCCTCAGCACCACATAAAAATGAATAAATAAAACAAAGGTATTGTGTCCAACTACAACTAAAAAAAGAAAGAAAAGAAAGAAAGAAAGAAAGAAAAGAAAAGAAAAGAATGAATCAGGGGCTGGGCAGTACTTTGAGGAGCAAGAGACCAGAGGTGGGCAAAGGAGTGGACAGAGAGAAGGTGGCTTTCCAGGCAGCAACTCTGAAGGCTGAGGTGGGAGGATTGCAAGTTTCAGGCCAGCCTCAGCAATTTAGTGAGGCCCGAAGCAACTTAGTGAGACCCCCATCTCAAAATAAAAAATAAAAAGGGCTGGGGATGTAGCTCAATGGTAACGTGTCCCTGGTTCAATCCCCAGTACACATCATCCCCCTCAAAAAGAGAGAAGGTGCCTTTCCCACATTTTGGGAAACCTGCAGGACCCTGGAGGAACCTGGGGAAAGTGGAAGAGGAGGCAAGATCAGGAAGAGATGGGTCACAAAGGAACCCCAGAATCTCTCTCTCCCACTGAAACGCCCCTCTGCCTGAACCTTTACCCTGCTTCTTTGAAACCTCAGTGCAAGTCACTCGACTTCTTTTGCAACAATGAAGGAGGTAGCCCCTACCTCCTCAGGGAATTAAGCAACTGTGTAGATTTCACTGTACCTGGATTGCACACCTGTGCTGCACCCAAGTTAAATGGTCATTACAATGTTACTCCCACCCAGCTACCTTCAAGATCCTTCGGGTCTCCATCTGAATCACCCAGACCCACTGATTAATCCCCAACACTCTTGGAAGAGAAATGCCTTAATTCCTAGCTTATGCTAGAAAAAAAGTATCATGCAGGGGCCTGCCCGGGTTGAAGAGCACATGTTTCATTCACAGTAAAGTGGACCTGGGTTTGGCAAATGACTGTCTGGGGGCCTCCATTCCCTCATACGTAAAACGAGGTTGCTTTCAAAATCAACACCTATTTCTTAGGAAAGTTATGACGAGTATTTGAGACTAAGGAATGGAGAATGCTCTGGGTAGTCCAAGCTCCGTAATTCACATTTCACCATGACTTACACCAGTTCCCAGCAGGAAAGCCTGGGCCTGACTCAGGTCTGATAGAGGGATCCCCTTTTTCTCTCCAGGGTAGATGTACGCCCAGGAAGAGGCCGGGGGTAGTTGGAAGCCAGACCCCACAACGGCCCCCAGAGCTGAGACGCACCATCCTTTTCTGCCTACTACTCCCATCAGCCAGTGAATCAGCCACAGGGAACAGGCAGGGGGTTCTCCGGACACAGATGGGGGACCTCAGGGAAGAGGCGCGGCCAGCGCAAGCCCACACTGGCGGAACGCCCGGCGCCACAGGGGAGTGTCCAGCTCCAGTTTGAGAAGCTGCCCACGGTGCGGTCCGACGGCGGGGGGGGGGGGGGGGGGACCCCACCTGGAATTGCATCGCGCTCCTAGGCTGGGGCCTGGCCTGACCTTGGAGATCCGGGAGAGTCTGCTCACTGAGCCCCTGGGGTCCGGACCTCCTGCGGCTCCAAGGGAGCCATAAACTGGGAGCCCCTTCCCCCAGCCCCAAGTGCTGGTGGCTGGGCCGCATTCCCCGCTGGAGGGCGTGCGGTGCTGAGCACGTGTTCCAAGAGCTGTTACTCGTCCCACCGAAGGTCCCTTCCCCAAGGGCGGGGATGGGGACACGTGGAATAGTTTGAAGAGCCCCTGCACCTGCCCCCCCCCCTTGCCTTCTCGAGCCCGTTTCTGTTCTTTGCAATGGAAAGGAAACCGTGATTAACAGGGAAATCACTGCGCCTGCATGGGGCCGGGTGCGGAATGGAAAGATTCTGCAGATACGATAAGGAACGCGGCATTCCAGGACCCGAGTCTGCAAAGATCTCTTCGTCTGCATTCTTTTAAAATTGGCTTGAGGGCTGGGGCTGGGGCTCCGTGGTACAGCACTTGCCAAGCACGTGTAAGGCACCGAGTTCACCTCTCAGCACCGCATATAAATAAATGAATGAAATAAAGATCCATCAACAACTAAATATATATACAACTATGTGTGTGTGTGTGTGTGTATATTTTTATTGGCTTGATGACAGGGGCCGCGGCTCTCGCCTGTAATTCCAGCGACTTGGAAGGCTGAGACAGAAGGATGTCCAGATCAGCCTCAGCAATTTAGCGAGGCCCTAAACAACTTAGCAAGATTTTGTCTCAAAATAAAAACTAAAAAGGGCTGGGGATGTGACTCAGTGGTTAAGTGCCCCTGGGTTTAATCCCTGGTACCTCAGAAAACTGTACCCATGCTGGACTGGGGTGTAGTGTCTGTAATCCCAGCCCCTTGGGCTACTGAGGCAGGAGGATCGCAAGTTGAAGGCCAGCTTGAGAGATTCACAGAGAAGCTGTCTCAAAAAATAAAAAGTAAAAAGGCCTGAGGATGTCACTTAATTATAGAGTGCCACTGGGTTCAGTCCCTAGAGGTGCGCAGGCATAAACACAGACACACACACACACACACACACAGTAAAAGAAAAAAAGAAAGAAAAGAAAGCAGTTTCCATTGTATGATTTCATTTACTCAAAATCATTTAAAATGACAGACATTTAAAAGAAGAAAACTGTTCCTCTGTGAGTCTGAGGTGAAAGTCCAATTAATGGGGTACTCTTAGGGCGCTGGTGACAGTCTGCAAAATTCATTGAGTTACACATTTATGCATACTCTGCCACACACGTGTGACATTCTACTTCAATAAGCACAGGGAGAAGGAAGCCAAATTAACCATGTCTCCTGTGGGATCTGATGATTCTTCTCTTTTCTTATTTTCCTTTAGTGCTAGGGAAGGAACCCAGGGGCACTGTGTCATGAGTTGTAATTCTAGTCCCCTTTTAATTTTTTTTATGTTTTGAGACAGGATCTCTATAAATTATCCAGGCTCAAACTTGTGATTCTCCTGCCTCCGCCCCCAAGGTGGCTGGGATTACAGGCATGTGCCACTGCACCGGGCCGCATTCTTCTTAAAATGTGTGAAAGTATCAAATTAGTCACTGTGTCAACCGCCAACAAGATGGCGCTGGGAGACCAGGGGCTGGAGCTGACACTGCTGCCTGGGATGGGAACTATGCGGGGAATCCCTCCCAGTTGCAGGAGTCCAGGTGAGGCCCTGGCAGGATTCCAGATAAGCCTCTTGCCCAGGGACACTGGCCTGACACCTGCTGCCTCTGGCAAGTGAGTTCACCCCCATTCCTGCAGCAAAGTCCCTGTGATCAAGGTAGCTTCATCTTTTCTAAAACTTTATCTTCTTCTTCCTTATCTATCTTGTGGTGCTGGGGATGGAGCCCAGGGCCTCACGCCTGCTCCATGCTCACACGGGGCTCACGCTGGGCTCCATGCTCAGCCCCGACAGCTCAGTCTTGCACAGACTTCCCCAGGTACCACAGAGAGCCTGCAGGTCCCTGGTGGCAGCCCCCTGCTGTTCCTCAGGAAACAAACTCTTGGCTTTGGAGGGCCTCCCTGTCATCATTTCAGGTTGACATGTGACACTGGTGCTCCTTCACCTGGTACCCTGGTGCACCCGGCTTCCTCTCCACTTGAGGCCATGCTGGCCCTCTGGCGGTGGCTTGTGTCACCTCTCCCCTGCTGACCAGCTCTGGACACAAGGCAGCTTCCTCCACCCCTGGGACCTATCCCCTCTCACAGAGCTGTCCCCCTCCTGGCCCTCTCCCCTCCACCTTCCTGCCTGCTGATGCTGCCAGCTTAAAGGTCACCTCCTCTCAGGCTGCACCTGAGCCCCAATCTAAGTTGTAACCCCATGAGTCCTCTCTGAGGGTCTTCTTTTTATCTTTTAAATGCCATGATTTGTATTTACATGAGGGTCAGGCATTGTTATTTGATGAATGACCTCCCCAGCTGGACTCCAAATCCCACAGAGCTGGGGCTGTATCTGGCTCATTTAGGATTCTACCCCTGGCATCTACCATAGCATCTAACAAAACTAATACTTGTGTGTGCCTTTGTTAGTAAAGAGTACTTTGGGAGGAAGCTAGTCAGCAAATGGACAAGCAAAAAAGATATGTTGGAGGAAAGGAAGATAAAATATTTGAATTGTTATATTAGTCTAGTAAAATCATGGCATTTTTTTTTCTCTTTATTATAGCATATTTAATCCCTTAAATCAGGTATGGTAGTGTCCACCCGTAATCCTAGTCACTCCAGAGGCTGAAGCAGGAGGACCACAATTTTGAGGCCAGCCTCCACAGCTCCACAGTTTGAAGAGCAATTCAGTGAGACTCTGTCTCAAAATAAAATATAGGAAGGGCTAGGAAATAGGTCAATGGTAAGGTAAAGCATCCTGTATTCAATCCCTGGTACCAAATAAATAAATAAATAAAATAAAATAAAAGGCATAGCAGCAGGCAGACCCAGTACCCCCGAGACACAGGACGCTGAGGCAGGAGGATCCCAAGTCTGGACAACTTAGTGAGACCCTGCCCTAAAACAAAAAGAGGCTAGGGCTGGGGTTGTGCTCAGCATTAGAGCTCTACTCTAGCATGTGCGAGGCCCTGGGTTCGATCCTCAGCACCACATAAAAATAAGTAAATAAAATAAAGGATCCTGTCCAACGACTTCTAAAAAATTTAAAAAATAATTTTTTTAAAAAGAGGCTAAAGGGGCAGGGGCTGGGGCTGGGGCTCAGAGGAAAAGTGTCGCCTAGCATGCGTGAGGCCCTGGGTTCAATCCTCAGCACCACGCAAAAACTAAATAAAGGTATTGTGTCCACCTACAACTAAGGAATAAATGTTTAAAAAGTAGCTCAGTTGTCCAGTGCCCCTGGGTTTCATCCCCAGCACACACACACACACACACACACACACACACATACACACACGGGTGGGGTTGGAGGTCAGAAGATAGAAGATTCCAATGCCGCAGGAGACAGGTCAATTTCCCCGCTGCCCCCATATTTACTGACACATAATATAATATGTATTCAGAAGAGTGTGCATAAATCTATATCTCAGTGACTCTGCAGACCATCAGCAGCACCCCAAGAGCACCCCTTCACTGGACACTCACTCCAGACACCCAGAGGAACAGTTCTCTTCTTCCAGGTATCTGCCTCTTTATATGCTTTTTGAGTAAGTAAGACCATACAGTGGGGACTGCTTTCTTTTCTTTACTGTTTTTTCTTCTACTGTTCGTGTGTGTGTGCGTGTATGTGTGTGTATGTGTGTGTGTGTGTGTGTGTGTGTGTGGCCTTGGGCATTGAACTCAATGGTATTCTATCACTGAGCTACAGCCACAGCCGTTTTTATTTTTTATTTTGAGACAGGGTCTCACTAAGTTGCTGAGGCCAACCTTGAACTTGTGATCCTCTTACCTCAGCCTCCTGAGACATTGGGATTATAGGCCTGCGACACTGGGCCCAGCTAAGATTTTTCAAATGAAAGCTCGACTTTATATAGTACAAATTTGTTTTAAATGTTTTTCATTTTTTTAAAAATCATAAACGATTAAACAAGCTAAAATAAAAAATAAAGAACGAGATCCATGGTCTTACTACACTAATACCATAACTTTTAATAATTTATATTTCATTCCTTTAACATAGCACTACATTTTTTTTTTGGTCCCTATGTTGGAATCCTTCCCACCAAAGTATTTTTTACTAATTAAGACAAACCACAGGTATTATTTTTGTTCGATGCTGTGCTAGGCACTGGGATAGGATCCTGAATGAGCTCTGTGGGATTTGGAGTCCAGCTGGGGAGGTCATTCATCAAACAACAATGCCTGACCCTCATGTAAATACAAATCATGGCATTTAAAAGATAAAAAGAAGACCCTCAGAGAGGACTCATGGGGTTACAACTTAGATTGGGGCTCAGGTGCAGCCTGAGAGGAGGTGACCTTTAAGCTGGCAGCATCAGCAGGCAGGAAGGTGGAGGGGAGAGGGCCAGGAGGGGGACAGCTCTGAGAGGGGACAGGTCCCAGGGGTGGAGGAAGCTGCCTTGTGTCCAGAGCTGGTCAGCAGGGGAGAGGTGACACCAGCCACCGCCAGAGGGCCAGCGTGGCCTCAAGTGGAGAGGAAGCCAGGTGCACCAGGGTACCAGGTGAAGGAGCACCAGTGTCACATGTCAACCTGAAATGATGACAGGGAGGCCCTCCAAAGCCAAGAGTTTGTTTCCTGAGGAACAGCAGGGGGCTGCCACCAGGGACGTGCAGGGTCTCTGTGGCACCTGGAGAAGTCTGTGCAAGACTGAGCTGTCGGGGCTGAGCATGGAGCCCAGCGTGAGCCCCGTGTGAGCATGGAGCAGGCGTGAGGCCCTGGGCTCCATCCCCAGCACCACAAGATAGATAAGGAAGAAGAAGAGACAGGAGCCGTTCCTCGGAGAGCTCTCAGGCAGCTTGCTCTGGGTCACCTTTTATTGCCATTGGTATCATCATGATTCAGAATACGTCACTGATCGCACGATTTCAGAACTTTGCCAAGACGTGACATTTCCTTAACCATCATTAGGGGCATAGAAAAGTGTAACATCAATTTACATTTATCCAGGATGTAACCTTTTTCAGATTTTTCCCAAGATGTAGTATTTTCCCCAAGATATATTATTTTCTTATTAACTAAGGCCAAACTACGTAACCAGACTCAAAGTCTCCTAGCCTATCATTAACCTTGAAGTTTAAAGTACACCTGCACTTTATTTTTAATGTAAAATTTCCATCTAAAAAAGTCCCCTTGGTTTGATCCTCAGCACCACATAAATGTAAAATAAAAATATCATGTCCACCTAAAACTTAAGAATAAATATTAAAAAAAAATATTTAAAAAAATTACAAAATAAAAAAGTTCCCTTAAGTCTTATACTTAAAATATCCTAAAGTTTATAAACCATTCTTGAAGCATATCAGAAATCCATTACAACTAAAAACTTAAGAATTCTAAGCCCAAGAATCTAAATAGAATAATATTTGTAACATTATTTTTAAAATGTGTCTTATAGAGCAACTTTCATTAATTCGTACATTTATTCTCATAAAACTGGTTGAGCTGCTCTCTCAAAGAGGTTCTTTGTTTCTTAGTCAAGTGCACTCGTTCTTATATCTTTGTTATCTCTCTCAGTAAAAAGTAATTTCTAAACATCAGTCTACTACCGCCGATATCAACTATGCTCATCATAAATCCTTATGTGAAGTAAAAGAGGGTTTAAGGAAAAGAGGAGAATGTATCCTTATATGTCTTAACTTTCCTAAGTGTCTAACATAACTTTCCTCAATTGAGGATGAAACTACATAAGGTGGGCTTTGTGAATAAGCATGATGATTAGGCTTTCTAAGAGGCTGGAGATATGGGCCTGGGTTCTTGGTTGAGATAATCAATGTGGTGCCTGAAATTCTCATGACCTTTCGGAGAGTGATTGTTGTCCATTATCAGTTTTGTCCTCAATGTGCTGAGATAGAGGAGCAGCCTTCTACTTTGTCCTCGATATGCTGAGGGGTAGTGGAACAGCCTTCAAGGCATGACCTACCTGTTGTGTCCTAGCCCTCTGAAGTTTAGTCTGGTGTGGCATTTAACATACTCACGCCTCCTGCCAGGAACATGAGCATGAAAATGAAAAGTCCCAGTTACATAAAAAAGGGTCTCATGGTTTCGGTTACCCACCAACCAGCGCGGCTTTGCCAGGGTTTATCCTCACTGTGACCCGGTCAAGACAGTGGGAGGGGGATCCCTTCACCACTGATCACAGGGGCTTTGCTGCAGGAATGGGGGTGAACTCACTTGCCAGAGGCAGCAGGTGTCAGGCCAGTGTCCCTGGGCAAGAGGCTTATCTGGAATCCTGCCAGGGCCTCTCCTGGACTCCTGCAACTGGGAGGGATTCCCCGCATAGTTCCCATCCCAGGCAGCAGTGTCAGCTCCAGCCCCTGGTCTCCCAGCGCCATCTTGTTGGAGGTTGACACAGTGACTCTAATTTGGTGGAGGCCAGGCTCAGATTTGATGAGACTCTGTCTCAAAATAAAAAAATGAAAAGGGCTGGAAATGAGGTTTAGTTGTACAGCACCCTTGGTTTCAATCCCCAGAAACAACAACCAAAAAAAACAAAAGAAAGAAGAGGAAGGAAGAGGACAAGGAGGAGGAGAAAAAGAATAGGAAGAAAATGAAGGAGAAGGAGGAGAAAGGGCCAGGCGAGGGGAGGAAGAGATTTAGGATTAGTCAAAAAGCGATTCTTTGGTTCCTCATGGCGTCATCTGAAGGTGGCCGGCGGTCACCAGGTGGTGACTGGGCTGGCTGGAGTGCCCAGGATGGCTCTTCTCCCATGTCTCGGGCCTTGGCAGATGGCTGAAGGCTGAACTCAGCTAGAAAGTTTGGCCAGAGTGTCTCATGAGGTGTCCCTTCCATACAGAGGTCTCAGACTTCTCGCAAGGTGACCAGCCTTCCCCAGAGCAAGCCCCTGTGGAAGTCTCAGAAATCCCAGCACCTCTTCCAGTGCATTCTGTTGATGGTGATGCCGTCAGCAGGCCAGCCAGATTCAAGGGGAGGGGGATGACTGCAATTCTCAGTGGGATGAATGTCAAAGAGTTTGTAATTTTTTAAAAATTTGCAGAATTTTATTCTAGGTTTATATGTGCGCGTGTGTGCGTGTGCATGTGTGTGTGTGTGTGCGTGCGTGTGTGTGTGTGTGCGCGTGTGTGTGTGTGTGATGCTGGGAATAGAACCCAGGACCTTGTACATGCTAAGCAAGAACTCTGTCACCAGGGCTGGGGTTGTGTCTCAGTGGTAGAGCTCTTGACTGGCAGGTGTGGGACACTGGGTTCAATTCTCAGTACCACAAAAAAAAAAAATTAAAAAAAAAAAATAAAGGTCCATTGACAACTAAAATAATAATAATAATTTAAAAAAGAACTGCCCTACTGAGCTACATCCCTAGCCCATGCAGACATATTTTTAAATTGCAACAGACTAAAGTTTTCTTACATACAAAATACAATCACTCCTTCCAAGAGTTCTGTTAAGTCCAGATGCAGACAGGCTCTTTGGGTTCTGCTGCGTGACAGAGGCCCTGTCCACCCGAAGACCTTTGACCTAAAGACACATGCTGTCTGCCTCTGCCTCACATGCGTCCAGCTTTCAATGTTGGGATAGGCACAGGAGTCCGCTATAGAGGCTCCTATTTACACTGGAAATGAGAAGCTCAGAGCCATCACTGAGCCATGGCAATTTCTTTTTCTTTTCTTCTCCCCCACCAACCCCCCCGCCCAATTGAACCCAGGGACACTTTACCACTGAACTGCATCCTAGCCCCTTTCTATTCTTTTTATTTTTTATTTTGAGACAGGGTGCTCTCTAAATCGCTGAGGCTGGTCTTGAACTTGAGTCCTCCTGCCTCAACCTCCCGAGTCCCTGGGATTACAGGAGCGCTCCCCCGCACCCAGCCTAGCGGTGGCAACTCTGAAGTCAAATCTTGCACCTGTGGTCAGGGTTCCATCTTGCTGCTTGGGCTCTTGGCTCAGCCCTGATTCCTTTTGCATGAGAAATGTCTCCTGCTGCGATGGAGTGGCCTTCTTATTCTGCTTCTGCCCATTATTTACTGGGGCTGGGGTGGGGGGTATCCAAAGGCCTCTCTTCATTTTATACAGACTGTTCCTCTTAGTTCAAGATGACAGTACTTCAGTGAGTATAATTCTTCTAAAAGGTTATGAGTTTTCTATGAATCCCTTTGGGGTTTATTTCATTAAGCAAAAGCCAGAACCAAAAATCTCTTTGAGACAGGCCCTCTCAATTCGGGGCCCCTGTGCTTCACAGAGAAACACTTAAGATTATCAAAAGCCCTGCTGTTGAACAGAGAAAGGCCATAAAACATGCCCTTAAGATTTCTAGAAGAGGGAGAAAGCAGCGTCCGGGCTGCCGTGGGGTAGATGGGCCTTCCGGGGCGTTCCCTTCCTCCCTCCAGCCCACCTGTGCCGGGTACAGAGAAGCCTGGACAAGCAAGCGCCATGGGGCTCAGGATAAAGTAATGACAGATGGGCTGGGGCTGGGGCTCAGTGGCAGAGCGCTCGCCTAGCATACGTGAGGCCCTGGGTTGGATCTTTAGCACCCATAAAAATAAATAAATAAGGGGCTGGGGTTGTGGCTCAGTGATAGAGTGTTAGAGTCTGTAAACAAGTCAGGATGGCGTCTGGCATTTTGCCAGAGGGAGTGGTTTGAGAGGTAACGCCAGTGAGCCATTAAGTGTGGAGATTCCTTATTGGTTGACTGCTGTATCTAGTTTATGTTAATTAAGATAAGCTGTGTGGAATGTATAAATACCTCTGTTGTCCTACAATAAATGGCCCCCTCTCCTGCTGTATCAATGTACACAAGTTGTTTGTCACCCCCTGATTATTTTGCTGCAGCTGGACTGCGGCAATAGAGCACTTGCCTACCAAGTGTGAGGCACTGGGTTCGATTCCTGGCACCACATTAAAAAAAATAGAGGTATTGTGTCCATCTACAACTAAAATCAATCAATCAATAAATCAATAAAGAAAATAAAAGCATTCTGTCCACCTACAATCACCGATTTTTTAAAAATTATATGACAGCTCTCCCACACAGTAAGGGGAACATAGAAGAGTATAGATTGACTTCGTTGGAATAAAGCAAACGCCAGGGCAGAGCTGCCCACACTGAGCAGGAACAAGGTGGGGGGAATCGTCGAGCTGTTAGCGCTCCTGGTTTCTGCGACTCAGTGTAGCTTGATCTCTTAAAATGGGTCTGAATATTCATATTAAACAATAAACTCATTATTTCAAAATAAAATAAATAAATCAATAGACAAAGCGCTGTTTTCCCTCCTGGGATGTTGAGGCAACTAGCAGGAGGCCCTGGGTGGACGCCAACAACAGCTGAGTGGAGAGCTATCGCGCTGTTCTGTTGGGGACCAGCTTGTCCTGCCCACTGTGGCGCTGGGCAAAGGTGCGACTCAGGCTGTTGAGGGGAGAAATAAAGACTGTCCACCACTTCTGCCCGCTCCAATGCTTCATTCACTCAAATCACTCACTACAACTTCACTCTATAGGTTCTTAATCAAGAAAAGGACAATCCTTAATGCTGGGCACTGCAATAGACATGATCAACCACAGCAAACAATTCTGGATTCATTCTAGGCACTGCAAACACACTTACTCATGACAGGCTAAGGACAGACATTCCCTCTGCGTGCTAAGCTCAAGTGTCCAATCAGAAGTCTCCAGCCTTAGGCTCTGAGTCCAGCAGGTGGCCACTCACTCAGACCGTGGTGACCAGGTCATGGTGATCAGGTCAGGAGCCAAGGCAGGCTTCTCCTGGGGTGGGGCTGACAGCCGGCTGAGGAGAGGGTCATAGGGAGAAGTCATGGCTCTCACCAGGGTCAAGGTGTGGCCGCAGAGTTTGAGAGGAAGGTGCAGAGAGAGTTGGGATGTCAGTCCAGGTCCTCACCAGGCTCTCAGCGGGAGGGCTCAGTGGTGCTGGCTGAACACCTGTTCATCTGCTCCATCATCTATACAGAATTTTGGGCCTTCTGACCACCCTTTCAGTCCTTATCAGCTGCTGCTGGATTGCTCAGTGGCGTCATTTGCCCTGGGGTTAAAGCATCCTCTGGTGGTCCCCACCCTGATTTTCCTGCCTCTTCTCCTGATCGAGGCCAGGACAGAGAGACTTCATCTGAGCTGTCAGGGTGGGGAGAAGTGACTTTTTATGTCAGGGCTCCGCCTGATGATCTTACTGGAGGGCTCCACAGGCATGCCTGGTGAGACCGCAGGTTTCAAAGTGGAGATTTTAAAATGGAGTCGCTTAGGCTAAGGCCCGAGGCCATCCTCATACCCACTCACTGTACATACAGGGAAACAGAGGCCTCAGAGGGTCACTTACCAGTCCAAGGCCTCTGGACTCAAGTCGGCCGTGACGAGGCTGAAGACAGGTATTCCAGAGGAGGACCAAGTCCTAGGGGACTCACTCAGCAGCCACCGTGACCCCTCCAAGGTGCACAGTCCCTCCACACCAGAAGTCCAATTGCCCCAAGCTCACACTTGCCCAGATGCTTCCTCACCAAGAAATGAAAACCAAGTCACTCCCCAGCCCAGGGGAGCAGCAGACCGAGGAGTCCCAGCCTCCCAGCCTCCCAGCCTCCCAGCCCCGTGGGGCACTGTGGGGCTCAGCAGCCAACTTGCTCCCTGCCCTGCCTCTGCCCTGCCTCTGCCCAGTGGGCCTGGCAGTTTCAGAAAAGACCTCAAGGGTGCTGGGGTGGGGGTAGGAATTGGATCTGGATTCAAACCCCAGCCCCCAACTTATAGGTTTTAGGATTTTTGGAGAATCACCTCTCCGAGCCTCGGTTTTCTCCTTTGTGGAGTGAGGGCAGCAAAGCCCTCCCTTGGATTGTTGAGATAACGCAAAGTGTGCCAACATCTAGGCCAGCGCTTAGGGAGAAGAGGGTTCAGAAAAAAGTGCTACACCAGCTCATTAAAAGGCCACATGACAGAACTCCTTGTCCTTCCTTACCCTTGCAGCCAATCTCAGGAGAGCAGAAGCTATCCAGATGTCCCCTCTTGCCCCCTTCTGTCATGTGGCCCGCCAATGTGTCTCCAATGCCAACGCAGTGAGTAGGGGAGCGCTGTGGCTCTAGTGGTCGGCAGGGTGGCCACCACAGAGAGGCTGGAGGGCCTGCGCTGGGGATTGACCAGGGAGGGTTCACCCGGAGCCACACCCCCATTATCTTTTATGTTGGGACAGGGTCTCACTAAGCTGCTTAGCTGGCTTTGAACTTGGGATCCCCCTGCCTCAGCCTCCCGGTCACTGGGATGGGCACCTGGCTATTGATCAACAGGACTCCCCATAGAGTGAGTCTCCTGCAGGGCAGGAAGATTAACAGTGGTGACAGGATGCCCGGCTGTGAGGCGGGTTGGTGAGGGTGGTGACAATGACACAGATGATCATGTTAATACAGGAGCGATCGCAGTGATGGGAATGAGCAACCTGTGACCTGGGACAGTGGTGACAAGGGTGCTGGAGGTGTATGGGGAGCAAGGCTGTGGGGAGTGGTGGTGTGGAGGTAGGGAGAAAGTAGGGTCAGTGCGTGGTGAACCCCTGTAATCCCAGTGACTCGGGAGGCTGAGGCAGGAGGATCGCAAGTTCAAAGTCAGCCTGAGCAATTTAGAGAGGCTCTAAGCAACTTAGCGAGATCTTGTCTCAAAATAAAAACTAAAAAGGGCTGGGGATGTGACTCAGAGGTTAAGTGGTACCTCAGAACACTGTACCCATGCTGGACTGGGGTGCATGTGTTTGTAACAAGCTTGAGGCCAGCCTCATCAACTTAGGCCCTATTTCAAAATAAGAAAGTAAAAGAAGGCTGGGAATGTAGCTCAGTGGTAGAGTGCCTCTGGGTTTAATCCTTGGTATCAAATAGAAAGACAGTAGGATGTGCTGGGAGCCATTAGCCAAGTAGGTATGACAATTTCCTTGCCAGCGTACCCCATGTTGCTGACATGTTGCAGTGACATTGAATGTAGGTGACCTTGCTCAAGGACCAAGGCAGATTAGGGTGTTCCCGGTTTTAAGATAATCGTGTTTAGGGCGTTTCCCAGTTTAGGTTCCAGGTTTAAGGTTTAAGATTATTCCTGCTGGGAATAGGGCTATCCTGCTGCCTGAGTTCCCCTTGAGTTCTCACGGGATTTAGACAGTATATTTTGGAGATAGAAGCCCAGTGGAGGTGGATTTTGGGCAGAGAACGTGGATTTGGGCAGAGAACGTGGATTTCCCCAGAACGTGATTGTAGACGGCTGGTGTGAGTTCGGGAATAAAGAGTTGCTGTTTGAATCTACAAGCTGTGTGGTGGCTCGTGATTGTGTGCCCAGCCAGACTGCGGCATTTGTGCCCAGCCAGACTGTGGCAAGGATGAGTTACCCAGGGAGGCCTTTAGAATCTGTGGTGATGTGGCTGGGGATGCAGTCAGGGGTAGGACAGTTGTCCAGCATGTGCAAGGCCCTGGGTTCCATCCCCAGCACCACAAGAAATAAATGATGAATAAATAAAATCTGTGGTGGTGGTGGCCGGGGCTGAGATGGCGATGAGAGGATCACTGGGGATGGCCGTGGTGGCAGAGATGGTGGAAGTCTCAGAGATGGGTGGCAGTGATCACCAGGCGGTGACAGCGACCAGGAGGCCTGCAGGACCCAGGTGTTGGGGGTTGGGTGAACAATTCAGCTGACGCTGGCTCCGGGGCCACCAGTAGACCATCCACAAAGGGGGCCGACTGTCCCCTCCATTAGACCAAGGTCAAGAGCCCCTGAAGAGGACGCCTGCACAGTCCTGGACCCTATAGCCTGGCTCTGCCTCTGTCCCTGCCCAGGGCCCGTTCTGGAGCCACCCGCTAACCTTCTTGGACTGGCCCTGGGAGCTCTTAAAGCTGCGGTACCTGCCTGCAGCTTCCCGCAACGACCTTGGGTCTGTCCTGCAAAACTTCTCGCAGGTACCGCACCTCTCAGGGGTCAGGAGTGGGTAATCGAACCTGCTCAGCCCTCACCCTGACCCTCTAGGCCCTCGGTGTCCACCTTGGAAGCCTGCAGTCTGTCCCCAGGGCCTGGCCTGCTGCTCTGTGCCACCTGGTTGCAGCTCAAGCCCTGGGAGGCTCTTCGTGCCCAGCGGGAAACAGGTCTAGGGGGTGTGCGAGAGGAGGGGCAGTTCAGGGAGCCCTGGCAGGCCCAGGTGGACTCCTTCCCACCCAGAGTGAACTCAGGTCCTCACGGTTCATCTGCGTGTGGGTTTTCTTCTTTTTCAGGCTGAACAACGTGTCGTTGTTATATAATTCTTTGACACCTAGCTGGGGACTGCCCCGGCCACGGTGCTCATCTCCCTCAAACCCAGTCCTCTGAGCCGACACAGCAACCACGTCCCCTTGCTGAAAAGGAAGCAGCAATACCAGAAGCCACAAGCAGGGACTCCAGACTGTCATATCCGTGACACTTCTGTCCTTGGCAATGTCCTCGGTGACTTTTTCCCTCCCTCTTTCTTTTTGCTGCTGAGCCACATCCTCCAGCTTGTCACTGGTGTCCTTGAAGTGCCCTTCCCACCCGCGTCCTTCAGGCGTCCTGCTATCTCCGCGGTTTGCCAGAGGCCCGTCTAGATCACCTAAGACCGTCAGGGGATCCTCAGCGGAGGCCTGACTCTGGGGCTCCAAGAAATCAGGTCATGGAGAGGTCATGGCGGAAAGCAGGAAAGGAACTTGGGCCAGCACAGTTGCCCCAGGAGGACAAAGGGACCGTGTCCTTAGCCCTGCCTTGGAAGGGTTCATAGAAAGGGGAGTGAGGGCAAGGGTTAGGGGTCGCAAAACTGGTGGCTTTTTACAGCTGCCCAGACAGAGGATCTGGATCAGCTCGATTTGGCCGTGGTTATCTCAGGATTGGCCAGGCGGGGTTTGTCCCAGATAAGAAAACTGCTCCTGCCCGGGGGAGTCATTTCCACTCAGCACAGGCTGTTAATTGGGTGCGACCTCGGCCTGGTTCTGGGAATCCAAGGTGACTCAGAGCAAAGAAGGTGGACACAAAATGGAGGCAGAGACGCCAAGTCTTTAGTCCTGCTTTTAGCCACACATTGGGCATCTACAGGCAGATGTGAGAGTCCCAGTCGACACCCTCCTGACCACCCCACCCCGGCTTTTGTCCATTCCTCAATCTTCTTTTTTAAACACTTTTTTCTCAATCCAGGACTATCTGGGTTGTCTTTTTTTTTTTTAATATTTATTTTTCAGTTTTTGGTGGACCCAACATCTTTATTTTTCATTTGTATGTGGTGCTGAGGATCAAACCCAGCGCCCCACGCATGCCAGGCGAGCGCGCTACCTCTTGAGCCACATCCCCAGCCCCCGTCCATTCCTCCATCTTGAGGGTGCGGCCAGTCTGGCCTGGCAGGTTTCTTGGCTCAGTGAAAGCCTGTGTGTGTGTGTGTGTGTGTGTGTGTTTATATTTATCTGCATTTATTTATTTCTGTGCCCCTGGGGACTGCACCACCCAGGGGCACTCTACTGCTACCTTCCCAGCCTATTATTATTTTAATTTTTTTCTTTTCCCAGGGATTGAACCCAGGAGTGTTTACCACTGAGCTGAGTCCCCTGTGGCTTGGCCACAGCTACCCCCTGGTGGTGTTAGGACCCCCCCCACACTGGGGCTCTGAGACTGGGGGCCCCAGGAAGCAGCAGGGCCCCTTCCCACGCCCCCTAAAGCAGGATCTGGGAGGGCCCTGGCCCCAGGCTTCTCCCCTGCAGTGGGCAGGGACGGCCAGGCACTGAGGACAGGGCGGAAGGACAGAGCCCCGTCTGGAGCAAGGAGTGCTGGGAAGAGGGAGGGAGGGAGGGAGGGCCCCATTCCCAGCTTCCCTGCGTGGCCAGTGCTGTTCCCCCTTCCACGAAGCCTTCTTTCTTTCTTTTTCGTAGTCCTGGGAATTGAACCCGGGGTCTCTACCACGGGGTACACTCCCAGCCCTCTTTTATTTTATTATGACCATAGTAAATGACAGGCACCATTGTTGGCTGACATTGGCCTGCCAGCTGTCCCCAACTCCAAGGACACACAGCCAGGTAGCACAGACGTCCCGTCTGTTACCAACACATTTTGTGCTCTTGAATCTTGAGGGGGTCCCTGGGTGCGGGGTTCTCCCTCTATCCCTATAATCCATGGGGCACCCACTGTGGTGTCCTGCAAGTGTCCCAGTGGGCATGCACTGAGTGCCCGTGGGCCTGTCCAGCAGATGGAACAGCAGTTGGTTACAAGGCACTGCCCTGGGTGCCGAGGGGGACCCTAGTTCGGCTGGCAACTCCATTTCTACTCCCCATTCTTTTCCCTGGAAGCCCTCAGGGGATAAAAGCTCCTTCCTCCCTGCACTGCCACCCACCAGGGTGCACAGCTCCACCCCACGGCACCTTGGGCCCTTGCCAACCTCTGGGAGCAGCCACGGCCAGACTTACACTCAGGGAGCCCTAAATGAGCACAAAGAAAATGCCCAGCTCCGAGAGTGGGGATAGGAGAGGGTCTCAGTGCTGACTCAGGACGAGGGGTGGCCTGGCTTGCTCAGCAGCAAGGGTACTGCGTGAGACTCACACGTAGTTCACACGCCTTCGCCAATGTTGAAATGCAAACTGCATGCTAGGTTCCGTTCTAGACACGTAGCCACAAAAGACAAAAATCTTGCCCTCTGGAGTGTGTATTTAATGAATAAGCAGCATGTTTGATGGTGGAGAGCTGCACGGAACAGAGGGAAGCTGAGCTTGTGTCGAGGTGTCCAGGGAAGACCTCCTTGAAGACTTGATGGCGGGAGTGGGGCAAAGGGGTGGGATTCTGCATGGGTTTTAAAGGTGGGTGCGCTCGCACCGTAGGAGAGAAGGATCAGGGTGACCCAAGGTGACCCTTGGTAAGCTGGCAAGAGGAGTTGCCATTAAGAGAGGAGGTGGCTGGGAGTGGGGGTAGAGAACATCATGAGTTCAGTTTAGGAGACACTGAAATGCCCTTACATGGATCCTGTGCTCAGGGAGGAGGTCTACACAACGGATATGTGGGTGTGGGGCACAATGTCCCATGCCTGTAATCCCACAATTTGGGAGGCTGAAGCAGGAGGATCAGAAGTTTGAGGCCAGTCTCAGCAACAACTTAGTGAGACTGTCTCACAAGAGAATATTTTTTAAAATTATTTTATTATTATTACTATTTTTGTGGTGCTGAGGATTGAACCCCTGGTCTTAGTGCATTTGAGGCAAGCACTCTACCAACTGAGCTAAATCCCCAGCGCAAGAGACGATTTTAAAAGAGGCTGAGGATGTATAGTTTAGTGGTAGAGCACCCTGGGTTCAATCCTCAGCTCAAATAGAGATGTGGGTGCCGCCCGCATGTAGATTACATCAGACCTGGCAGCTGAGGTTGTTTCCAGGGACTGACTTGGGTGGGGTGGGGGTGGGTTAACAGCCACGGGGGTGAAAGCACAGGCCCTGTCTCTGCTCTTCTGACTTCGAAGACATGCCACATATGCAGGCTGCCCGGCCACTGAGCTCTGGTGACCCACCCCTGCATTCCCACCTTTTATAGCTGCTTATTTACTACCTGGCCAGTAAACTCAGGTGAAAGCGACTCCATCAAAGGGCTTTTGCCGTGTTCTAGAAGAGCAGGCCACTTTTCCTCCCCAGACATGCACACACAAGCATCATGGCCTCCGTTCTGGGGGCTTGCAGAAAACCCTCCAAGGCAACCCAAGCGCCCATGCGGTTTCTATAGAAGCCCGGGCACTACCTCCACAGCAGCATTGCCCAGGGGAGCTTCCGGAGAGCCCCGCCCCCTCCCCAGGCCAGCAAAGCACACCCCACTCGGCCTGTGCCACTGCGGGTTGATTGTACTTGAGGAAGAACAGCCCTGAGCCTCCAGGAAGCCGTCTAAGGGAAGCCAGGTGATAGGAGTGTGCAGAGGGCAGGTGGGGCTCAGGGAGCAGAGGCTCTGGCAGCAGGCTGCAGCGGGAGGGGGCTCCCCAGGAGCAGCAGGGTGCCATCTGGCTTTGTAAAAGCAAACAGGCAGTCGAGGGGCATCCTAGGCCAAACTGCCACCCAGGGGAACTCAGTGGTCGGGGTGGAGGGGAACCCCAAGCTTCCTGACAGGATGACGCCCACATGTCAGAGGGAGATGGAAGGCAGAGCGGGGGGAGGCCACTGCCCAGGGACGCGTTTTACAGGGATTTGGTTGCGTAAGGAGGGGGCAGGGCGGGCTTCACACCCCGTGGGTGGTCTAAGGACCACCCACAGCACAAGCTCCTGAGGAGCCTGCTAAATATTCCAAGCCTGGGCCACATTACTTTGCAAGCACCCCAGTGATTCTGAGGCACACCAAGGTGAGAGCGCCACTCCTGCCTCTACCCTCTGCCCTGGTGACAGGACTGGTTCTTAAGACCCCTCCACCCCTCCATCCCACCCCCAACCAAGGACAGAATGACTCAGTCAGGGATTATGCTTATAGAAATACTAACAGCCAAGCCGGGGGAGTTCTGGGAATCACATCAGAGAGACAGGCAAGAAGCAGGAGCAGATGAGGAGACAGCGGCATTCTGGTGACAGTGGGGTGGGGGAGGTAGGAGGTCCTGTTGGGTCACCCAGCATACAAGCCCTAGTCCCTAACTCATCCAGGGCCTTAAGGAGAGGAGTCAAAGAACCAGAAGAGTAGCCATCTTTATTCCACAGTCAGTAAATCCCACCACCACAGTGATACAAACTCTCCAGCAGACTCTACTACCCAAGCCAGTACCGCACCAACAGAACCGTGTGTGCGCGCGCAGTACTGGGGACTGAGCCCAGGGGTATGCTACCACTGAGCCAATTCCCAGTCCTTATTATTTTGTACTGTGAAACAGGGTCTTGCTAAATTGCACAGATGGCCTCAAATGTGCAATTCTGCCTCAGTCTCCCAAGTCACTGGGATCACAGGTACATGCCACCACGCCTGGTTCCCTAACCAAACTTTCTGCAATGACAGAAACACAGTTCTGTACGGTCCAATGGAGTGGCACTAACCCTTTTGGCTACTGAGCACTTGAAGTGTGGCTACCACAGCTGAGTAAACACATTTTTAGTTTAATTTAAATTTCAATGCCACATTTGGCTCACGGCTATTATACTGGAGGGCCCAGCTCTAGACCCTGGCCTGGTCTGGGGCAGTTTGGTTCAAAAGCCAACTCTGAGGAGAGCAAGTGACGGAAGAACCCTGGGGTCACCACCCATCCCAGAGACAAACGGCAGCTGCAGTTGCTGAGGGACGTCTCAGAGTGGGGGGACCCCGCGAGCACGGCGGATGAGGTTGGCCAGGCGCTTAGCCAGGCCGCCAGTGCGGGGCTCCTCGATGTGGAAGGTTCTGGTGAGGAGGTTGTAGAAGGAGCCGTAGCACACGGCCACCACAGTGCACGTGAGGCAGATCACGTTGTAGGGCATGCTGAAGTCGGGCGTCGGCAGGCTCACCAGCAGCGGCTCGGTGTAGAGGCGTATGAAGTAGCTGGAGCCATCGGAGACTGGGAACCTGGGCAGGGCAGGAGTGCTGAAGCAGGACGGGGTGCTTCCCCCCAAGGTCATTCGCAGCCTTGGTGGCCAGTGCACCAAGGTTCTCTCAGCCTTGAAATCTTTTTTTTTTTTTTAATACCAGGGATTGAACTCAGCAGTGCTTAACCCCTGAACCACATCCCCAGCCCCTTTTTAAAAAATCTTTTATTTTGAGACAGGGTCTCGCTAAATTGCTGAGCCTCAAAATCTTTCAACCGAAGGCACCTTACAGGACAGCCTCATCAAAGGAGAGCCGCCAGGTGCTGCCCAGGAGGAAAGGGCCTGGGCCTGCCGGTGCGCGGCTGCCTCTCTGAGCCCAGCCTCAGCCTAAATGATGCTCCTTAAAGAAGTTCCTAAATAACCCCACGGGCTGCTCCCCAAACACCCTCCATCTATCCCTTCCAGAACAGTCTCCGCTCTGACTGTGGCACAGGGAGGAGAGGAACAAGGCTGATTTCTTCGCTGTTGTTTCCCTGATGTGCTCTGAAACAGCTGGGAGGTGCTGCATTGGACAGCCACTCAAGAGAGTCAGGGAGGAAATGAGGGCTGAAGCACTGCCACTGTCACCTGCTTTCTCTTCTAGAAGCACTTCAGGACCATTTTATAAAGTCTTTACAAGAACCAGGGACTGCTGGAATTTTCACTAGCATTGGGTGGAACCTACACGTTACTTTGGAAGAGGAACCTGCGCAATGCCCAGCAGGCAGCTGAGGGCAGTGCATCAGAAGGGCCTGGTCACTTACAGGGTGTTGAAGAGGGGGCTCCCTTCCCAATCCACTGGTTTGGCTGCCACCATGCTGGGCACAAGGGCGCTGAGGACAGATGGGCTGCAGAGAAGCAGAGACATGGCTCATGTTCCTCACTGGTTCCCTGACAAAGGGGTAAGTGGCATAGGGCAGATCAGGAAGGTGGGGGACAGCCTGTGGGGATGGATCTCACCTGACATAGAAGCCGTGGTTGGGGTCTGGGGTGTACTCAGTCCACTTGAGCAGTGCCCGCTCAAACTGGATGGAGACCTTGGTGACTGAGTTTGCCGGGAGCTGGATCAGCATCTCTAGGAGGTGGGGCTGCAGCCGGTCCTGGGCAGGCTCATAGTGGATGTAACCTGAGACAGACAAAGGTCCACCATCCCTCACTCCTGGGTCAGACTCCTACCCACACCTGTTCCTACCATTTGCCTGAGGGCCACAATCTGGATGCCTAAGAGGTGGGCTTTGGATCACGGAAGCCAGGCAGGTAGGGAAAGAAGCAAGGTCTCAGAGAGGGAGAGCACATTCCCAGGAAGCAGTCCTGGATGGGTCAGGAATGCTGCAGGCTGCTACCCACTCTCCACATCCCTAAAACTGGGGTGCAGACACCTAATGCTGATGCAAGGAAATTCACAGGACCACCTGGGGATTCTTGTCAAAAATATGGGACAAAAATCTAATCAAGTTTCTAAATCTAATCACCAATGCACAAGAAATGTAGGGGATGGAGGGACATGTTGAATACCAGCACAAGGACAAATCCAGAATGTAGAACATTCTGTACCACAAATGACCTCATTCCTCCAACAAACACGCTGCACTGGGCAGGGGGGTGGTGGGGGGGGGTGGAGAGAGCCAAGCAAACTGCTCGAGATTAGAGAGACTTAAGTGTGCCACACCAAACACAAGACGGGAATAAGAAGGGAAATCGGGAAGGAGAGGAGGAGGGGAACTCTGCACTTTCTGCTCGATTTTTCTCTAAACCTAAAACTCTCAAGTTTATTTTTTAAAAAATGAGACATTTAAGAGACCCATTAAGCAAATGTGATGCAAGAACCTTGTTTAGATCCCAATTCAAATGAACAATTATACAAGGTTATGTTTAAGACCAGAGGGGAAAGCAGGAGTGTTAATGATACGGTTATGGTTTTTGAAAGTCCTTTTTCTGAATACTTAAAGATGAGTTGACACGACATCTAAGATTTATTTAACAAGTGTCAGCAAAAAAATAACCAAACCAACTTATTACAAAAAAAAAAAAAAGGGCTGGGTTATGGCTCAGTGTCAGAGTGAGGTACTAGATTCGATCCTTAGTACCACATAAAAACAAATAAACAAAATAAAGGTATTTTTTTTAAAAAAAGATTAAAAAGAGGAGAAAGATGAATATAAATGCCAGGCAGCTGGGGACCACTGAAGCTGGGTGATGGGTGGAGGGGAGTTTGTCACACTAGCAGTACGTGTTTGAAGTTCTCCAAAGTAAAAGGCAAAACCCCAAACAAAATATCTGGGGAGGATGTTTGAAATTGATATTGTGAAGATGGCACAAATAATGATGCTGAAAATAAGCAAAAAGAGGTTTAAAATTATGGGAAGCAACAGAACTATTTAAAGATTTTTAGTTTTTCATTGGGACACGATACAGCCTGTTCCTAAATCAATCTCCCCCAACATGAAGGAAAAACAAGGGCATTGAATGAGCCTGTGCTGGACACTTGACAGAAAGCACTCAGCACATATCAACATCTCCTCAGAAAGTAAAAACTAAATTTTAAATCTGCACCTCTTTACCCTCCTAAGAGGTGAAAGCCATCTCCCTGAGCTCTGCCATCTTCTTAGCTTCCAAGACCTATTTCTCTTGCCAACTCTTTCTTGTCTTAATGAGGCTGTGAGTCATCGTGGAACACAAGGATGTGCCCAAGGCTCCAGGAAGAGAAAGTCAGTGAAAAAGATCAGGAAGCTGCTGCCCTCAGACTGTGCTATCAAGAATCACCAGTGCTGCGTGTTTTCATTATATTGCTTTATAAGCAACTTCCAAATACGACACACTGAGGCTTTCTGCTCCATTTTCCATATGATTCCTAACTCTTCATGCCTGTGCAGGCCTTCAGAGGTATTTCAGGAACTACCCTGAAAAATGAGAGTCTTGGGGTCCTGGAGAGAAATGAGCTGGGGGGTCTGGCTGGGACTCAGCTCCTCACTTGGTTTGTTCTCCTTGCCCTTGGAGGTGATGGTGAGGGTGTGCACATACAGCCGTAGGTACCAGGGCACGGTGTCCAGCAGCAGCACCGGGAAGGCCCGGTAGGGGTGGTTGTTGTAGAGCAGCGTGCTCAGCTCCCCCTTCTGCAGCCCATAGCCGCTCACGTAGCGCTGGGCATGGAGGAAGGGCACTGGTGGGGCTTCTGCAGAGAAAAGAAGCACCTGTTAGCTCCTAAAGACAAGGTCAGGGCTAAGCCAGGGAGCAGATGGGGAAAAGTCCTGCCATTAGAACTAGAAAACCTGGGCTCTGGAATCACCCCTCTTGCCTGGGCCCCCAAGAGATGACAACCGGATTACTATTATCTACAAAGTGCTTATGTGCCCAACATTGTGCCCCCTTCCAACCCAAACCAGGTGTGCTCAGGACATCCTTCCGGTTCCCTGGGTAATACTGCACAGGGTCCGAAGGAACTGATGCCTCCCTTGTCCCACACATATTGTTTCTTGAATGCAGCGTCCTCTTTTTTACCATTCTATATCTAGGCACATGGCACAAATTCAAAAATACCTATGAATACATGAATGAACTCCACATTTCACATGTAAAGTATCACATCCAATCCACCAGGTACTACTGTCCCTGTTTTGCAGTTGAATACAGGGTTAGGAACTGCCCAAAGTCACACAGCTTGGAAGAGCTGCAGTCAGAACAGGAACACATGACCCCAGAGATCTGGTCTTAATGGGATTCTTTTTTTGTTTGGGGTTCTAGGGATTGAACCCACAGGCCCTGGAGCACTGCGCTACATCCCAGTCCTTTTTATTTTTGAGACAGGGTCTCACTAAGTTGCTGAAGCTAGTCTGAAACTTGCAATCCTGTCTCAGCCTCTTGGATTGCTGGGATTATAGGACGGTGCCACAATGCCCAGCAACCCTATGACTTCTAAAAATGATTATAAAGTCATTAATTATACAGATTGAGAGGCTCTGCTGCAGCACTTCCAACACGTATGTCATGCTTTGATCATGTCTACCTCCCACCTCTTGTCCTCCCTTCTTTGCCCCCTGCCTGCCCTAAGATCTTCTAGCAAAGACAGGACAGTGAGTGTTTCCCTAGGAGAAAGAATCCCTCTAGCCTTTGGGGGCCCTGGTGGCCTGCCCACGTGCCCACTCACCATTCTCCGGGGGTCTCTTCCACTTGAGCTGAAGGTTGAGGTTGCGGGAGTTATTGATCATGGTTGTGTCAAGCAAGTCATAGACAGCATAGGTCTTCCGGGTGCCAAGGATAACGTCTTGGTATGTGGTGGTAGGGGGTGGGTTCACCTCCAGTGTCTCATTGTCCTGGGAATACAAAAGCCACAAAGGGCTGAGAAGCAAGCAGAGGGGCAGGCTGGCCCTGGGGAGAGGGGGTGTAGCTGGAGACCTCGATACCTGGTTGTAGCTAGTGACATCCACATAGACTCGGCTCTCTGAAGCCAGGGGGCAGGGCTCTGTGAGGGTTCGGGAGAACATCCGGAAGAGGGACCAGTCTGAGGATCAGAAAGCAGGGCTGAGCAGGGCCTAGTAAGGGTGGCCACACAGATAAGGCAGGGTAGGGATGGGTGGGCAGGTGGAGACAAGTTGCCAGGGCAGCTTACCTTTTTTCCCCTGCCCTGTGATGAAGGCGTCAAATACAACCGTAAGGGTCTGCCTCAGCTCCCAGGAGATGCTGGTACAGCGCGCATTCTACCACAGGGGCCAGATGGCAGCAGTGAGGGGCCTCACTCTCATCCAACCACACAGCCTCAAGGACTCTGAATCGGACACAACCCTCATCTGTGCATGCATATTCACATCTATCGATCTGCTCCCATTCACTACTGAGCACTTGACCCTGAGCCAGACCCTGACAGCTTTCTGTGCATCACTTTGATGAACTGTCACAGCAGCCCAGGAGCTGATTCTCCTACCATTCTCACACACAGAGAAGAGAACGAGGCTCAGGGAAACAGAATGACTCACTCAAGGTCATGCCAGCTGGCAAGGCACGGGGCCAGCAGTTGTACTCACACAGCTCTGTTCCTAACCACAATGCTCCATGATAAAGATTTACTGAGTACTCGCCTGGCAACCACGCAGTTTCCTTGGTGCATGGACAATGCCCCACATGATTATCATATCTGCCACTTACTTCTCATTCAGCCAGAGCCAGACAATGGGCTACATCTGTACCTACACCTTCTCTCAGAGCCCCCATATGGTGGTCACCCTCTTCCTCCACTGACTTACTCTGCAGACAGGGCGGATGTGCACTGCCTGGGAGTGGTAGCTGGTGTGGAACAAGCGGTCAGCCTTCAGCAGCACAGAGAGGCCTGCCTAGACAAGGCAAGAAGAGACGAAAGGTCAGAGACCTACATGGAGCACCTGGCATGGGGCACCAGTTCTCTTAAATGCCCCCTGGCTACCAGGCTACAAACGGGCACTGCCAATTCTGTCCCCTCTCTGGGGCTCCCACCCACACTAAGACCACTCTGGCCTCACCTTGGAACTACAGGGCAAGAGCTTCTTCCATGGGGTGAGGTTCTCAGTGCAGACCACCTCCCGCGGCAGCACAGCATATCGCAGAAAGTAGTGGTCAGTATCTGAGGGAAATAGATACTGTCAGGGAGGCCTGGGGCCCTGCCCCTCAGGACCCACTCCAGAGACTGGGGAGACCACCCCTGCTCTCTACACCCCTCTCTAGCACCACCATCCAAACAGTCTCACTGACCCCTGGGGCAGCGGGAAGCAACGTAGGGACAGAGAGAGCAGAGTTTCCAGAGACCTGCACATTGGAGGGATTTTAGATCAAGCCCAGGCTGAGGAGGGAAGAAACTGAGGAGAAAGGAGGAGAAGGTTGGGCAGAGGTTCCAGGAAGGAGGACTGCAGGGACTATCTCACCATTGGCCAGCCCCAGGGGTTTGAAGGAGGCTGTGGGGGTGACTGTGTTGGTGGAGTCGATGAAGTTGAGAGAGGCGCAGAAGATTCCTGAGAGGACATTACTGAGCTCCTTCCAGGACTTATCCACACTGGATGGAGACACAAACCCAATCACTGTCACAGGGCTGCCTTGGCTCCCTTACCCAGAGCCTGCAGCAAGCCACCAAACCCTTGGTAAAAGGAGGCTGGATTCTCAATCATTAGACAGGCCAGAGGATAGAGTCAGAGCAACATCCCTGCCCGGCTCAGCCACTTCTTGGCCTCACTGTGCCCAGCCTCTTCGTCCTCTCTCCTCTGGACAGCCCTCATCACCATGGATCTCTGCTCAGGTGGATTCCTGCCTAGGACTGCCCTCCTCACTCTTCTCTGCCCATCTTTCAGGTTCGGCGTCCTGGCCCCTCATCCAGGAAGCCTTTCCGGCCTTCCTTAAGCATAGCCTCCTCTGTGCTGCTGTAGTTCTGAGCATCCAAGGTCCACTCTGGGAGACGGCCTGGTTATCAGTAGTATCTTGTCCTAAGTACCTTTTCCCCTCAACGAGGCAGTGTGCAATTTGACAAGAACTAGTGTGGGTCATCTTTGCACTTTCCACAGTACCATGCAGAGTGTTCTATTACTTCAGAGCAGACATCAGCTCACTGAGCCTCCCCGAGTGTGCTCAGTCAGGCAAAGCAAGAGTCTGCCCTGTGAATACTAGGGGCAGGAAGGTAAGTCCTGGTCCTCTCCTCAGGTGGGAAGTCTTATATCCAAAAATCTCCTTGAACAAGGGGAAAACACCTATTCCTATTAAATTGGGTATCTTTTCTTATAGAAATATTAAGAGATTTATTCTCTAGATAAATAATAAAAAGCATAACATTCAATAAGCACTAGAATTCTGAACTTCAGCTTAATATCATAGGCAATTATCACCGAGGGTAGACAGTGACAACAGAGCAGTAAAGGCAAGGGAGCCAGAGTCAAGGCAAGAGCAAAAACTTTGGCCAATTGTGTGTGGGGTGGGGAGTGGGGGCTATCACTGCTTGCTCCTTGTCTAAGATTGCTTTGGTGCTGTAGTGGAGTTTTGTTGTTTTGTGGTGCTGGGGCATGTGCATTTGAGGCAAGCATTCTACCAACTGAAGTTTTTGATAATCCTTTGTTCAGTACTTTTCCATTACTCCAATCCTTGAAGCCTGAAAGTTTTATCCAAACTCTCCTTAACCATGCTTTATTGAAAGTGCACAACACTGACCCAAATAGCATTATTAAAAATTTTAAATTACTTTTTGATATTTAAATATGTCAGTTTTCACATTAAATTCTGGTATCTCTTGCTTAATGAGTCTGACCACATTAAGCCTCTATTGCTACATGGCAACAAATCATAGGTGATGGCTGTCCTTTTCAGATTGTCACACAAGCTCTTAGGTCTGCCACACTCATTTTATAATTCTCATTCCTATGCTTCTACCAATTTTTTTGGGGGGAGTACCAAGGAAAATTCAAAGTGTTCCTGTCTGCAAGCTTCCAAGGGTGCTTAACTACTGAGCCACATCCCCAGCCCTTGTTTGTTTGTTTGTTTGGGTGTTTTGTTTTGTTTTCAGAACAAAGGGTCTCACTAAGTTGCTTAGGGCCTCTCAAAGTTGCTGAGACTGAATCTGAACTTCCAATCCTCCTGCCTCAGCCTTCAGTGACACTGAGATTACAGGCATGTGCCACAGTGCCTGGCTCTATCAATGTTTTTATACCTTTACCAATTTACTTATCTGTGTGGCCCATGCATAGCATGCAATCTCTGCAACCAAAAAAGGCTGTACTCTTAACAGAACTGCCACAGCAGTCATTGGATGTGCCTGTGCCCCACCCCCAACCCCACCAAACAGCAATTCCTCTAACACAGAGATCTAGCATCCTGAAGGTCAATTCTAGCCCACAAACATGTTTTGTTTGGCCTTATTATTTTGATGGTACTTGAATATGAATATGAAAATATGAACACCTTTTAAAAAGGTAATCAGTTCGCCAGGTTTCTACAGACTTACATTCAAAAAGCACCATCTATTGCCTCTGTAAGGATACATATGTGCTGCCTCAAGTCTGAAAGAATTAGGGGAAGTAAGTTTATTCAGCAAAGTAAAGCAGGCCACTCAAAGATAATCCCATTTGTTACTTCCAAAGCCAGCTCCAGTCCCATGAGTCGCAGTCCACTGGAATTCTTACGCCCAAGCAGTGGCAGAATGAAACATCTTTCCCTGCCACATTCCATGGTATGCAACAGGACGCAAAGTAGACACTCACTCAGTGACAGTGTCTTGGAACCAGACCCAGAGCTCTGCACCTGATGGGGCCTGCAGGTACGGTGGCCCCCAGTAGCGTGTTCTCCAAAAGCCTTGCGTGAATGACAGATGCAGCTCCCGCAGAGAATACTTGGAGATCAGCTGCCCCAAGGCTTTGGGGAAGAGCCGGTAATGAGACACTGGGGGAGAGAAAGCAGGTGAGTGGTGAGCCCCTCGCCTAATCGAGAGCCTTACCTGTGTGGCCCACGCATAGGGCCCACACCCAGGGTCCAGAACTCCACCGAGGGATGAGCCCCGCCTTCCCAACAGAGCAGGCGCCACAGAAACCTTTCTCCGGCCAGACCTCACCCTCTCACCTCCTTCCCGCTGCAGCTCCGAATCCCAGCGTGTGCGGAACTGGAACGTAGCGGCTACATCCCCGGAGGGCAGCGGGGTGATGACGAGCTCCTCCCGCAGGCTGTCGCGTGGGGGCTCTGCATGGCCCCAACCGCCAGGCCCCAGGAGCAGCAGCACAAGCAAACCCAGCGGCACGGCGGCCGCCATGCCCGGGGCCGCTTCCACCTCCCAGCGGCGCCCGCTCCCACGAAAGGCCGGCGACCAATAAGAAGAGCGTGTGAGAAGTGACTTCCGGTTCAGTCCCGGAAGCTGGGGTACGGTTGCCACAGTTACCGCCCCGAGAGCCAAAGTGATTTCCTCCTGGGCCGAGGGGTGTCCGGGACCGAGAGGACGCGGGAGGGGATGGGCAGGTGAGGGGGCTAGGGGCTGGCTTGAGGACCCGTCCACTTCGAGGTGTTTCCACCCACCAGAAAGTGCTTAATAATACGGAGCGCGGCCTTGCCGCTTGATAGTTAAGGAAACAGTGAAAAAGGTCCATTATTTTTGCAAGGTCACGCAGCTGGGGTTGGGCTGCCCTCGGCTTCAGATTGTCTGGATTTGCTTGATCCAAACCTACCTCCTCAGAGGACAGTTTTGCTGCAGAATCCCCAAATAACTAACTGGTTATTTGGTATGAAAAATTTCTAACCGACAGCAAAATTGAAAGAATGAGCACCTGTTTCCCCCTCACCTAGGCGACACTATTAACATTTTACCATTCTTGTACTTGATCACATAACTTTCTAGAATCCATTAATCCATCTGGTTTTAATGCGTTTCAAAATAACCAGACATTAGTATATTTCTATCTAAATAGTTCAGAATGCATATCATTAATGAGTTCAGTATTCACATTTTTCTTTCTCCAGCTCTCTCACCACCCCGAAACACACACATACACGAATGGGGGTTGAAGTCAGAGCCTCCAGCTAGCAGGAAGCACTAGACCACTGAGCTATATCCCCAGCCAGCCATGTACATTTTTCTTTTGATGTAAAGCTCACCTACAGGGCCAGTGGCGGTGGGTGGCAGTGGGCAGCAGGGGTGGATGGTGTGTATGTGTCTGGGTTTGAGGGAATCATGTCTGCAATCCCAGTGACATTGGAGGCAGGAGGATGGCAAATTGGGAGCCAGCCTCAGCAATTTGGCCAGGCCCTGGAAACCCTGTCTCAAATAAATAAATAAAATAAAATGGGGATGTAGATGTTTCCTCATCTGCAAAATAGAGAGACCTACTTTCAGAGTCATTGCTAGGGTTAGAAATTATGTACTTGCAGGATCTGGAATGTAATAAGTGCTCCTGGGTTCAATCCCTAGAGCCCAAACAAAACAAAAAAGCTCACATACAGTGAGATGTGCATGTCTGAAGTGCACATTGAGTTTTTTTGTTTGTTTTGGTGGTGCTAGGGATTGAACCAAGGGCCCTGTGCGTGCAAGGCAAGCATTCTACCAACTGAGTATATACTCCCGGCCCCCACATTGAGTTTTGACCAATATATGTACCTGTGTAATCCTAACTCCTATCCAAATAATTTTTCCCCAAACCCCAGAAAGTTGGCTAATTCCTATTCCCACACAATCCCTACTCTACAATCCAGAGGTAAACAATGTTGTGATTTTCTCCCTATAGTAATATATTCTAGAACTGAATATAAATGAAATTATCACATATATTTTGGGGGTAAAGCTTTTTTTTTTTTGAGAGAATTTTAATATTTATTTTTTAGTTTTCGGCGGACACAACATCTTTGTTTGTATGTGGTGCTGAGGATCGAACCCGGGCCGCACGCACGCCAGGCAAGCGCGCTACTGCTTGAGCCACATCCCCAGCCCGGTGAAGCTTTTTTTATGGGGCAAATATTTTTGAGACTCATCCATGTTCTTGTATCAGCAGATTTTACTGTTAATTGCTGTGCAGTATTACATTGTATGAATAAGCCATAATTTATCTATTCTGTTGATAGGCATCTGAGTTCTTTGAAGTTTGGGGATATTAGGAACCAGGCTATTATGTATACAAGTTGCTTTGTAGATGTGTTTATCACATCACTTGGGCAAATATTTACGAGTGGAAGTGTGGGTCAAAGAGGAGGAGTATGAGCAGGGCACACCTGTAATCCCAGCAGTTTGGGAGGCTGAGGCAGAAGGATTGTGAGTTCAAAGCCAGCCTCAGCAACTTAGCAAGGCCCTAAGCAACTCAGCGAGACCCTGTCTCCAAGTAAAATACAAAATAGGGCTGGGGATGTGGCTCAGTGGTTAAATGCCCCTGGATTCAATCTCTGGTACCATTAAAAAAAAAAAAAAAGGAGTATGTTTAATTTTATAAGAAACTGTTGGGTTTGGCTTGGTGGCACATGCCTGAAATCCTAGCTACTTAGGATGCTGGACAGGAAGATTGCAAATTCAAGGTTAGCCTGGGCAACTTTGTGAGACCCTGTCTCAAAATAAAATATGAAAAGGGCTATCAGGCACAATGGCCCACACCATGTAATCTCAGTAGCTCAGGAGGCCAAGGCAGGAGATCAAGAGTTCAAAACCAGCCTCTGGAATTTAGAGAGGCCATAAGCAACTCAGTGAGACCCTGTCTCTAAATAAAATATAAAAAAGGGATGGGGATGCGGGTCAGTGGGGAAAAAAATGAAGGGGGGAGAAAATAAAAGGGGGAGAAAAAGAAACTCAGATCTTTCTCCAAAATGTATCCTAAATTTTATTCTCCCACCAACAATAATGTGAGAGTTCTGGTTGTTCCACATCCTGGTCAACATTTCATGTTTTTAATTTTGGGGATCTTTTAATTTCATCTACTTGGATATACATGTAGAGTTATCTCATTGTGGTTTTAATTTGCATTTCCCTGGTAGCAAGGATGCTGGGCATCTATACATGTGCTTATTACCATTCAGATAGCGTCTGTTGTGAAAGAGTGTTAAAAATCTTTTGTGCCCAATCCATTTTTCTTCTTTCTTTCTTTCTTTTCTTTTCTTTTCTTTTTTTTTTTTTTACTGGCCTGCCTTCTGGTGTTTGTGTCTGTGAGGGGCACTGGACATTGATCACAGGGGCACTGCCACAGAGCCACATTTCCAGACTTCTTTTATATTTTGGGACAGGGTCTCACTAAGTAGCAGAGTCTGCCCTCAAACTTGTGATCCTCCTGCCTCAGCATCCTGAGTGACTGGGATTACAGCCCACCATGCCTGGCTTTGTTTTCCTTTTTATTGTTGAGTTGTAGGAGTTCCAATGTTAAATTCTGAAGAGGAATTTAATACCATTCCTCTTTGGAATTTAATATGCCCTATGGGGAATATATTCATGAAGGAGTTTTTAAATGGTCTTTAGGTAAACAGCCATATTTTCTATCAAGATCCAAATTTGGTATCTGGCAAGTCTGCCAAAATATATCCCAACCAATGAGGAAGGACATGTCAAAAAGATGTCCTTATCTCATGTCCTCATTTCTGCCTGCATTTACTGTTCCTGGAATAGTAGGAAGGCCAAATCCCTACCAGCCTTTAATCCATATAAGCAAAAGCAACCCCAGTGTTACTTCCTCATCTGCAAAATGGAGAAACATACTTTCAGAGTCACTGTTAGGATTAGAAATTATGTACATGTAGGATCTGGAATGTAATATGTGACTAATAATACCATTTTCTTATCAGGTAGGTATTATCTCCATTTTGATTGCAGTAAGTGGTGGAACCAGAGTCTACATTACCAACTTCAAAATAACTTTTTTAAAAAATTTTTTTAGATGTTTATGGACCTTTATTTTATTCATTTATTTATATGGGTGCTGAAAATCGAACCCAGTGCCTCACACATGTTGGGCAAGTGCTCTACCACTGAGCCACAACCCCAGCCTGCAAAATAACTTTTTTTTTTTTAAAGGTAGCTGCCAACATTGATATTTTGTATTTCTGTGCTCTACTGTTTCTCTTTGAAATGAACTGTCCCCATCATTCATAACCCAGCCACCTCCAATGAAGACTCCGCCCACTAGTGGGCTACAGTTCCTGGGGTATTTCTGCTCTAGCACTCATCACCTTATATTTCCATAGTCTGTGGCCGTATCTGTTCCTAGAAGAGCTCTTGGTCACCTTAGTATTTTGGTTGCCTGTGCAAGTGACTAGCACCCAGCAATGTACTCAACACTGAATGAGCAAAGGAGCAAGACAACATCCCCACAGTCCTGTCTTGTCCCCACATTGCCATGCTGTTTTGAGAGTCAAGTTCTCCTGAGGATTGCTGCAGTGAGCTTTCAAGGAAATCTTCTAAGCTGTAGTCCCTCGAATTTCCTCCAAAATATAGAGTTCTGTGACGATGACTTGTCTTCTTCCCTCCTCTCCAGAGTCTGTCATGATGTCCACCCAGTCATAAGTCTAAGCAACAGAAAGAAGCCACACTGTGGCTTGGAGACTGAAAGCTAGGCTCCTTGAATTGGAATTGGCTCCAAATCATCCCATCTCCAAGGGCACTTTGTGGCCTCAATAAAACAGTCAGCTGGAGATGATGCCTCTGAAGGCCAGCCAACTGGCTGTGGTTTGGCAGGAGGAGAGGTCATTGTCTCAACCAGGAAGTGGTCCTGTGGTCTCAGTTGACCCTAGACTTTTCCAGACAGAGCCTGGGCTCATAGTAGTAAATGAAGGCTTCCCATAGACTCACAAACAATTCCGCTCCTCAAGAGGCCTGCAGCTCTCTCTCCAGTCAGGATCCCTGTCCCAAACCCCACAATCTTAGCATTGTGCGCTTGGGGTACTAAAAATTTATTGGAATGTTGACAGCCACCAAACCAGTACAGATTCCCATCATTCACCCTGGAGGGGAGGGGGTTGATTCCAGATCTGGGAAGTACTGCATATCCAGAGCCCAAGAGAAGGCTTGGCCAGTCAGATTGGAGGTAGAGCCTTGCTAAAGAAAGGGTCAGGACGTGAGAAGGCACCAGAGGACAAAGACTCTTCTGAGTCCAGAAAAGTCATAAGCAACCCAGAAAAATCCCCAAGGTTATTATGAGACTGGGCCTTGGCCCAGTTTAGTGAATGATCTCAACATGGACCCAGAGACTTTTGGACAAAAAGGTACTCATTCCACAAGCTTCCTAGAGACAGGGAAAGACTAATGGACATGACTACATCCCTGGAGCTCGCATGAGTTTCTCTTTAGGAAAAGCACTTAGGAATGGTAATTTATAATGGCCTCCTGAAGGGGAAGAAGCAGGATGAGACAATAGGAAGATGGAGGCCCTGTCACTCAGACCGGAAAACACAAAGAACTTTAGGATTTTAGGCTGAAGGTCACTGATCCATGGCTGGTGTTTGATATATGAAGAGAAGTGGAATGACTTTTTAGAACGTGAGACATGAACTGATGTTCCTTAAGGCCAGGTCCCCCTTTCATTCGACACTCCCTGGCTTCACTTACCACCTGTACACTGGTAACTTATCTATTTATTCTTCCAGCTCAATCCTCTCACCCAAATTCCACATGCATGGATCCAGGTTCCCACTCAACATGTCTAAAACAAACTTATAACCTTCCCAAACACGGTTCTCTCCTAAACTCCCATCTTGGTAAAGAGCACTCCAACCCATTCTGATGTAGGAGGCTAGAAATAATGGTGGCACTTTTGACTCCTCCTTCTTTCACATTCACCCTTTAAATTTTTGGAATTTGCCCCCTGAATCTTCTTTCATTCCACTTTTCTCCACCCTAGCGCCTTATCTCTTGGCTGAATGGCTGTGATCATCTTCTGGTTTCCAGGGATTCCTTCTGAACTCCTTGAATCTTTATTCCACAAGAGACCTTCCAGCCATTCTTCCCTCATTTATTCCTACTCTTCAAGCAAATCTTAGCTCAAGTGCCATTTCCTCAAGGGAAATACCCTGGGGACCTCTCTGAATAGGCTAACTCCTTCCTAGAACTTGTCATAGTTACACCTTTACATTTGGGCCCCCTCTAGACAATAAATTCATGACAGCAGAGACTCTGTCCACCCAACCATCCCAACCCCATCTATAAGGTCATGCTCAGTGTCTTGCACATGCTAAATCCCAAAAGTTAACATCTGTTCAATGAATAATATCACTTGTTTACACCCCAATTCAACCCAAGTAAGCTAATCATCACTGGTGTCTTCTGGGCCACCACTCTCTCACACACACAGGTTATCTGTCTTGAGCCTGTCCTCCAATACTCTCTACACTGCTGTCAGAATTAGCTTTTAAATATGCAAATCCAGCCACTTATAATCCTTCATTACTTCCAATAAAGTTCAGCTCTTAACATGTAAACTGCTCATTACCTACCCAACGACTACTGTCCTCTTGTTCCCTAGTAACAAAACCCTGATTCTGTCAAGACAGCAGAGTACCCTGTCAAAGGACTATTCCAGCTCTCCACCAGCCAGGATATTTCTCAGAGATGACAGGAAGTACAAAAATCAGATGCATTGGTAATTCAGGAACTTGAAAGGGTTATTTTATTTCCAAAACCCAGAATTTCCTTTCTTTTAGTTAATGCTGTGTCCCTGTCTATAAAATATCCACAAATGAAACATTTCCTGTGTTACCAAGTTCTGGCCAATGAGACAAAAATAGATGCGATTGCTCAGAATTTCGAAAAATGCTTCATAAATTGAGAAAAGACATCAGGCTATGCCCTCTTTGCCTAAATCCATTTCTTCTGCAGTCAGTTTCAAAGTCATGATGGCTGGGGCTTTGGCAGCCATCCTATACATGAAGTATCCATAAGCATGAAAATCATGTGTCCTGAACAATTGAGCAAAAAACCAAAAAGGAGCCCAGTTCTCAGTGATAGAGCTTCCGTACAGCTATAGCCCTGCATCCTTGGACTTTTTTTTTCTTAACCTTTATTATTTATTTAATGTGGTGCTGAGAATCAAACCCAGTGCCTCCCACTGAGCCACAACCCAGCCCCTGGACTTCTTTCATATGAGGAAATATATTTATATCTTAAGTCATGATCTTCACTGGCAGTCCAACTGAAACCTGGAACAGGCTTCAAAGCACCTGACCTTTATCAATCTTTTTCCCCCCAGTACTGGAGATTAAACCCAGAGGTGCGCTACTACTAAGCTATATCCCTCTAGACCTTTGTATTTTTTGAGACAGGGTCTAAGTTGCCCAGTCTGGCCTCATTCTTGAAATCTTCCTGCCTCAGCATCCCAAGCTGGGATTACAGACACACACAACACAACTGGTACCTTTGTCAATCTTTCCCTTTCCCATTTTGTCCTCAAATCCAACAATTTAGCCAAACCAAATGCTTTTCAAGTCCTCAAGGATACATTCTCCCCATTTAAAGTCTCTACAAGCTGCTTCTGCTGCTTGCCTAGCCCTTGCCCCTTCCTGGCCTAACTCCTAAGCATCCTTCACATCTCTGCTAAAAACCTCAACTCTTCAATTATCAACCAAGTTAGGATAAAATGCTTCTATTTTCTGTTACCAGAGTAGTACTTCATCTTGCTACTTAATACACTGTGAATTTTCCCTTCTGTGTCCATGAAGGCAGAGATATAGCTTGTCTTCCTCAGAACTGCATTCCACACACCTAGCAGGTGTTCAATCAATATTTCTTTAAAAAAAAAAAATGGGGTTGCTAGACATGGTGGCGCACATCTATAATCCCAGAAGCTTGAGAAGCAGAGGCAGGAGGATCCCGAGTTCAAAGCCAGCCTCAGCAATTTAGCGAGGCACTACGCAACTCAGTGAGACCCTGTCTGTAATAAAATACAAAACAGGGCTGCGGATATGGCTCAGTGGTGGGGTGCCCCTGAGTTCAATCCCTGGTACCCGGCCCCTCCCCCACAAAATGGAGTCAATGAGTGATGGGGATATGATGTTGGTGAGAAAGTAGACATAGAGTGGGTTGGATATCTCTATGACGTGAAAAATGAAGTGGAATGGTTGGTATATTATTTTTGTTTATTATTTATACTGTGTCTTGTTCCAAAAAGGATGTAAGGAGGCAGGATAACTGGCGTTCCACCTCATATGGAGTGCTAAGGAGTTCACATCCACTTAGAGACACTGGTTTAGGAGGCTCTACCGGAAAACTACAGGATGATTTGAGGGAGGGAGGAGTGCTAAGAAAAGCAATAGCATCTTGTCCTTCCTCATCTTCCAACTCCCCATTTAAAAGTCCTACCTCAGAAGTAAGCCAAAAACTGGTGGAAGGGTTGCAGCGGGAAAAGGTTAGCAGAAAAGCAGGAGAGGGTTAACGCTCAGAAAGGTACACTATCCCACCATCCTCCCCTCCTTTTGGTGCTGACTGTAAGCGTAGTGTCTGGTCTTCTCCTGAAGAGCTCTGGCTGGGCCTGGGGTCCCACTTGGAGAATAGCCAGCTTGGTCAGTCTGCAGCAGGGGGCCGCTGCTAGCTGCAGGTTCCAGGCTCTGCTCCTCTATCACCCCCATCTTCCTCCTCATCAGACTGTGCCAAGGGTGTATCTGCTCCACCATCACTTGGATTTGGACTATGCAGGTTGGTGGAAGAGTCAGAAGACAAGGAGGAGGTCCGGGATGTAGTCCTGTCTGGCGCTGGCAATGGCAGGCTCAGCTCCTCTAGATGGTCATCCACCCCTGCCCAGAGAGAAGAACTGGTTAGAGCCACAAATGGCTTCAGAGGACTTTTAAGAGCTATCTGGCCAGAGAAACTGAACCCCAGAGAGGGCAGGTACTTGTCCAAAATCATCTGCCAGTCCGGTGAAGAACCAGGATTAGGACCTTCATCTCCTGGCTCCCAGATCCTTCCACATCATTACACCGTGTCTGGACTTGAGTCAGGTCAGTTAATGAAAGAGTTCAAGTTCTATGTACATCATTCACTTTCTGGTGAAGAGCTTTGGACAAGTCACTTTCCCTCCTACGGACTCTACTCTTCCTATGTAAAAATAAATAAATAAATAAAGGGGGGAGGTTACCTACATTCCCAAAAGGTTTTGAGAATAAAACCTGATAATGCTTAAACAATACCTGGTATAGCAGGCCATCAGAGAACAGGAGCAGGTTTAAATAAGACAGTATCTTAAAGTTAAGCACAGGGGCCGTTGAGTCAGGTGATCCTTTTTTCCACTTTAAGGCTACAGTGTAACTGAACTTCTCTGAGCCTTATTTCCTTCTTATAAAATGGAGTATTGCCAGGTGCGATGGCTCAAGCCTGAAAACACCTCAGGAGGCTGAGGTAGGAAAATGGCGTGTTCAAAACCAGCCTCAGCAACTTAGCAAGGCCCTAAGCAACTTGTGAGACCCTGTCACTAAACAAAATATAAAAAGGGCTGGGGATGTGGCTCAGTGGTTAAGCACCCTGGTTTCAATCCCTAGTACCCCACGCCCCCAAATGGAGACTATTTCCATTCTTCTGGGGGAAGAAAGAAAGAAAGAAAGAGATAGAGAAAGAGAGAAAGAAAGAAAATAAATGGAGATTATATACCTGCCCTGAAAGGAAATTTTAAGTATTGAAATAACTTATATATAAAGGATGTTACCACAGTATTAGGAACCTAGTAAAGTGCTCAGTAAATAATGACTAAAATCACTAGTCTAATTAAAAATTATATTTTACATTATTTTTATTGTAGTAATTACATTAGTTTCACAAATATAAAATTAAAAAGGCTAAGGAGGTTGGCCAATCCTAGAATTTTGGCCTAGGAATCTATAACCCAGTTTCCCCTCAGGGTCAACTTCCTTAAAATCAGAACTGAAAGCTATTTCACTGACAGACACCCACTTCCAGTCCCTACTTGAATTCTTCCCCAGTTCAGCTGTGCAGCCTCAATATTCAGCTCCAGTAAACTGGTTCCCAAGTCCCTAAAGCAGAGGCATACCAGAAGTCTGGGGCGTTGGTGGAGGATCTTCACAAGGCAAGAACACGTCTGTTCCATCCTGATCCCCGAGATCAATAAGTTCTACTTGTTCCAGTGTGTCTACATTCACTTCCATGGATGAGATACTACCTATGGGGGCTGTGGATCAAAAAGGGGATAAGTCAGGAGGACCTAGGATGAAGCTGACAGGATGCTCAGAGTTACCCATCAGATTACAAGCTACAAGTTCATCCAGCTAAGAACACAAGAGGGATATGGCCCCAGAGATGCAGGACCCCCTGGATACCCTCCTCACACTACCCCAAAACTGCACCTCAGGACATGGAACTTACGCCTCTGTGACTCAAGATGCAGGTGGGACAGAGGGAAGACAAATTCTGTCTCTGGCTGTAAAATGTCCTCGAAGAATTTCTGCCTCTCCCGAAGGCGGAGCTGTTGCCGCTCCAGGGTTGCCCGAGGATTTGGGTCCATGTCAGCCCCTGGAAAGATAATAAGCAAGACAAGTTCAGCTGTGAAGTTGAGAAAAACAACAGTGGGACCTGGGCCTCGGGAACCCCCAGCAGCCAGCACCCCAGCAGTGGGGTTTCTGGTTCCAGCTGGACGACTCTGGCCTCAGCTACTCTTTCCCCTGCTCTGAAACAAAGTCCTTCCTACAAGCTTCAAGTCCTATGTAGAGGCAGAGCCTGCCCCAGCTCTACAAAGGGGATGCCAGTTCCAGGCACCAGAAAAGGATCTCTGTATTCAGGGAAGGCAGCCAAAGGCCAACTCTCATAGTATGCCCTTCTGACCGGGTTGGGGAGGCTAGTCCAGCCCAAATGATATTTTCTCCATTTAACGGACCCAAGTCCCTTCAGAAGGCCAGGGAAGAGGATAGGATGGAGATGGTAGGGTAGAAAGTCCTCTTCCACTAGTGCAACCCCTCTTCTCTCCCCTCTTAAACACATACACATCATCCCCATCATCTCCAAACTCTTGCTTTGAAGTCACCTATCTTTCAGACTTGGATGCCCTAAGGAAAATATCTTTCACAGTCTCCCCATCTGAAAAGGTATAGTGGTCCTACCTTCCTGAAAACACGGCTTGTGAAGGTGAGCTATTTAGAGAACCACCATCTTGTCTCTGAACTCCAACAGTTCTTTATTTGTTCCCCTCTTCCGACACATCTCACCATCTTATCTCCCTACTGGCCAATGAGTAGGAATTGGAAAGGCAGATTGTGGGTCCAATTCAGGCCAGGCCTCTTGACTCCCAGGGCTGAGAGCTTTCCAGAATACCAAAAGTTCCAGGCCAGTCCAGGCCCTGTGCATTCACTTCCATTCATTCAATCTCATTCCTAGCATTCTGCTCTGAACCCATCACCAGGGCAGGGTAGTTTCCAGCTTGGGACCACATCTGCATCCTCCACGGGCCATCTCATCTGGACTCAGTCTATCTCAGGCTAGGGCCTGCTCCAAAGGCGCTGGGGCCAGCTCAAGACGGATCCAAACCCGAGCGGGCCAGGGAGTGCTACGACGGGGAGCCAGTGTGGCCACGATTCGGCCACGGAGAAGGGAGGCGCTGACGCCGATTCCTGGGAAAGGCTCTTAGAGCTGCCGCCCAGGTCACAACGCTAAAAATATCCAGGGCCCCTGGGGCCGTCTGCGCTTGCAGGGGAGAAGGGGAGGGAGAAACCCAGGGGGAACTGACAGGACCGGGGGCTCCGGGACGCCCCTTCTCTTTCCCCTCCCCCTGACCCCATTGGTTTCACCAGGTTGAACGGGCCGGCCACCTGGGGCCACAGAGCCGTGACTGGAGCAAGGGAGTTGTTTACGCGACCACAGGTGCTGGGGAAAGAGTGAAGAGATTTGGGGCAGGAGGCTGCCAGGGGACCAGGCAGGAGCAGTGAAATGGAGAACTCCCTCTCTGTCTCAGCCCCACCCGCACTAGAGTAAGCAGAAGAAGAATTCCCCAAAAAGGGACACGCCGCGTCCGCGGGGGGAAGGGAGGGGTCAAAAGAGGGCGCTACCCACCCCCGGCACTTCCACTGGTGCTCGGGTCCCCTCCGTTGTCCCTGGAGTCACCTGCGCCCACCGTCGCCGGAGCCCCTACCTGCAGCGCCCGGCGCCCCCGCTGACTCAGTCTGTCCGCTCCAGCTAGGCGGCGGCGGCGGGGGCGTGGGAGCGAGCCGCGCCGGCCCGGGTGGGGCTGCGCCTCCGGGTCTCCCCCGGGACCGACGGCCCTGGGAGCCGGGAACGAGGAAGAGGCGGGAGGCGGAAGTGGGGGAGGGGCAGCGGCGGGCACACTCGCTCTGCGCTCGCCCGGCGACCGGAGGCAGCTCCGTGGAGCGCGACTACTCGCACTTGCAAGGCCGGCAAAAAGTTACCGGCACGCATCCTTCCTCCCTCCTACCAGCCGCACTCCTCCGCGCACCACCTCGCCACCGACGCCGCGCACGGTCTGCGCCAGCTGCGCTGCACTTGCGGCGCCCCCGCCCAACGCAGACCCGCTGTGGGCACCCGCACGGGCTCCCTGCCCACGCATCTTGTGCTCTCCGACTCCCGGGCAGCGCCCACGCAACCACTACGCGCACGCACCCGTTCCCCAACTCGCGGCACCCTCGGCCGCACTTGCCACGCTTATGCGCGCACTTGTCTGGCCGGCGCACGCTGAAGAACGCAGGATGGGGACCTGCAGAAGGGGGGAGGGGCACTGACCCCGTGCAGCCCAGCGCGGCAGGTGCGTCGCAGGGGACGAGCCCCTGACCCGGGAATTCACCCTGTTGCCCCTGATTCCTGGTTTCCGGAGAAGGCAGAGCCGCCGCCCTAGCTACCAGTGCATTGGGTGGGGTGGACCAGGGATTGGGCGGATCAGGCCTGGAGGGGGTGTGCAGCTGTGCCGCGCCCCTAGACGCCGGCAAGGAGCCAACACCTCCTCGGTGCTAAGGGGGTTGCTGGACCTCCGGTTTGGCAGGAATGGAGGTGCCAGGAGGAAACTGCGGGCGGAGGAAAAATGCTTTCCCCCTTCGCAGCACATCCCGGCTCAGAGGAGTGCTAGCAGTATCCAACCTAGCAGCTCCTGGACCTAGACTGTGTTCGCACCCATTCCCTTGTAGCCCGAGCTCCGGAGCTGTGATGGGGAACGGCCAGTGCCCGGGCTGTGTGTGAGATGTCCGTCCGAGATGACTCTGGGTTGGGGGAATCACTCGATAATTCATTCAACAAACAAGAGAAACTAGCACCTCCCTCTCGCTCACCGCCCACATTAAAATGCACCTCCATTTCCTGTCGAATCTCTTTCCTAAGTAACTTTCCAATCCACCATTCCTCTCCGTTTCCACCACCCTCTCTTGGCCCTCCACTACAGTAGCTTCTATCTATTTTTTCTGTGCACTTTGGCCCTGTCACACTCCATTCCCCACACAACAGTCAACTGTCACTTCAGAGCACTAGGATGTTGTGCCACCCTCAGCTCAAATCCCTCCATTGTTAGACAAAAATCCAGGCACGGAGTCTTGAAGAAATGAGTTCAACCAACAGAAAGGGAGAGGGGCATGTGTAAAGAGATGGACAGAAGTGTGGAAAACCATATCAGGTTTTCCTGTCAGGGGAACAGCGTGCTACAAATACTAAGTTACTGTCTCTTCTATTATGTTTTGGGACCTCCAAACAACCCCGTGAGATAAATACAGCAAGCAGCTCTCCCACTAGTTTACCAGAATGGAAATTAGGTTGTGGGAGGTGACAAATTAAGTAGTTAAGAGCTCCACCACTGTAGTCAATCCATTTTGGGTTGTAAACCTACTGCAGTCTCTGTCCAGCTGGGAAAGCATTTAACTTCTCTGATCCTTGATTTTCTTTCTTATGAACCAGGAATAATCAAACCCTACCTTTTATAAGATAATTCATACAAAATGCATTGTACAGGACTTGGACGCTTCAGAGATACTCAATGAACCTTAGCTGTTTTGAGAGGAACGGCGCTCTGCCACCAATTTCTGAAATTATAGAAAGGGAGTCCTAACCAGCACTGCTACAGAGCTTATTATGTGCCAGTTACTTCTATTATAAGTGCTTACGTATATTAAGTCTCTTAACACTCCTATGAGATAATTGCTATCGTTACTTTACCAGTACAGAAACTGAGATACAGGGAGGTAAAGGAGCATGTTCAGGGTCCTACAGCTTGATGGAGCTGGAATTTCAACCCAGAGACTGCTTGTAACCACTAGCCTAGACTATTTCTTTTTTACCCTGCTGTAATTTTTATCTTCCAAGAAATATTTTAATAACTTTGATTCCTATTTCTCATTAATGGATAGATGAAGAGATATGTGGTCCATTTTCTAGCACAGAAGAATGGAATCAAGCCAGGAATACAGTAGATGGAGCTCAGCTCCCAAAGTCACCTTTCCCATGTTCCCCCTGGGAACAGGACTCCATGGATTATTTTGAACTCAAGATGATGAAAGATCAGGAACCTCCGCTCCTTCTCTTTGTCAGTTGTTTGCCACAAGAATAGTCAGAGGCAGGGGGTATCCAAGCTGAAAATAATTCAGGCTGCTAAGCTGGAAGTGCATCTCTCAAGAGAAAGACCCAGGCAGCAGGCCAGGAGCTGGTGGCCAAAGGAGTTGAAAAGAGCAGAAGAGTAGATGGCTTGATACTCTGGCTCCCATCCAGGATGCAGAAAGCTGGGAAGAGCATTGTTAACACACTAATAACAATTGTTAAGGAGTGTTGAGTAATCTACAAAATCATAACTGCTGTCAAAACCATCAGAGTTGAGGTTGCAGAGTGAACAATTAACCTGAATTTCAAAGCGGGAACAGGAGCCTCCAAGAAGAGATGGGATATAGGCACTGGATCCTTGTAAAGCAGGAGTTGAAGTCTCTATGCAGGAGGGCAAGAAGAGTTCACTAACATTTTCACTGAATTGCTAAATGCCCAGTTAGCCCATTGCGGCTAACTTGAAAGCAAAAAACCCATGGGAATTGCAGACAATGAAATAATAAGAGAAACAACAAAACCCAAACTTAATAACTCCTCACAAGACTGACTCAATTCCTCACACTAACGGCCCAACAGAAAAGACAGGACAATTTCCAGGCATAAATAATGCTATACTCAACTGTACTCAGTTTTTACTGTTCTATGTACTGTATGTCCAGAAATCAGTAAAAAAAATCACTACACACATACACGTTAAAAACCAAAAAACCTTGGGCCGTGGCTGTGGCTGAGTGGTGGAGTGCTTGCCTAGCACGTGTGAGGCACTGGGTTTGATTCTTAGCACCACATAAAAATAAACAAATCAAAATAAAGGCATGCTGTCCATCTACAACTACAAAACAAAACCCTTCTGTCAAGAGACAAAGCAATCAGCAGGACCAGATGCAAAACCCAGATATTGTAGTTACCTGACAGAATGTAAGATGATATCTACCTAACATGAAAATGTAGATAACATAAATGAACAGAAGAGGAATTTTAACAGAGATATGGAAACTATAAAAAGGAGTCGTGTGGCTGGGCATGGTGGCACATGCCCGTAATCCCAGTGGCTTAGGAGGCTGAGGCAGGAGGATCACAGGTTCCAGGTCAGTCCCAGCAAATTAGTGAGGCCCTAAGCCTCGTAGAGAGATCCTCACTCAAATAAAAAGGGTTGGGGATGTAGCTTAGTTGTAAAGTGCCCCTAGGTTCAATCCTTAGTACTAAGGGGGTGGGGGGAAGAGTCATACAGCAATGCTAGAAATAAACCCATATACCCCAGAGGTTTGAAGGACACTTTTGACAGACTGGTCAGTAAACTCAACACAGCTAAGGAAAGAACTGGTGAACTTAAAGACAGATCAAATCATAAGACTGAAGCTGAAACAGAAAGAGAAAAGTGAAACCAAACCAGAACTAACTCTAAGAGCTAAAATGTAAGTAATTCTGATTCCAGAAGAAGAGACAGAGAAAAAAATATATATGTAGATATAATAACCAGGAATTTTCCAAAAATAACGAAAGATATTAAACCACAGAGCTGAGAAACTCAAGGAATCCAAAAAAGAGTAAATACCAACAAGACAGTCAGGGACCACTGTAGAGACAAAGGGCACATACTCCTGAGCTTTGGCTCATAGCCAAGTGAAAAATTTTAAGGAGACACACTTTTTCTGGTAAACAATAACAGAAAATTAATTGCCAGCAAATTAGCATTGGAAGAAATGGTAAAGGAAGTTCTGTAGAAGGAATAAAGTATCAGAGAGTAACCTGAATCTAAATAAAGAAGTGAAGGTCCTCGTAAATGAGTAGATAAAGGTAAATATAAGAGATATTTTTCTTTTTTTTTTTTAAAGAGAGAGAGAGAGAGAATTTTAATATTTAGTTATCCGCGGACACAACATCTTTGTTTGTATGTGGTGCTGAGGATCCAACCCGGGCCGCACGCATGCCAGGCGAGCGCGCTACCGCTTGAGCCACATCCCCAGCCCCTTTTCTTTTTTTTAATCACCTTAAAAGATAATTGCTTGTCTTAAGCAAGAGTAACAAGGCATGGGCTGGGGTTCTGGCTCAGTGGCAGAGCGTTTGCCTCACACATGTGAGGCACTGGGTTGGATCCTCAGCACCACATAAAAATCAGTAAACAAAATAAAAATATTGTGTCCATGTAGAACTAAAAAAAATTTAAAAAAAATAGCAAGGCATTGTGGGTTTATAGCACATATATTGTAAAAGTAAAATGTATGGCAAAAACAATATAAAAATGATAGGTTTGAGAATTGGAAATATGCTATTGAAGAGCCTTTATCTTACATAAGAAGTAGTATAATATTATTGGAAAATAAACTGATTAAAGATATATATATTATAGCTGGGTACAGTGGCATTCTCCTGCAATCTCAGTGACTTATAAGGCTGAGGCAGGAGACTCTCAAGTTTGAGGCCAGCCTCACCAACTAAGTAAGAATCTGTCTAAAAAAAATTTGTATGTTATACATATGTACATATATATAGGTATATATAATAAATGCAAAGGTGACCACTAAAATTTTTTAAAGTATTAAGTAATAAGCCAATGATGAACAGATAACATAAAATCATAAAAATGTTAAAATGTATAACCATGTGAGTGATAGACATGTTAATTGCTTCACAATAGTAACCATTTTACTATCTACAGGTTGTATACCTTAAGTATATACACAATAAAATTTATTTCAAAAAAATTAATGACTGAGAAAAAGTAAGTAATTATATAAATAAATATTACATAATAATAAATGTTGGGAGGCATTCTACCTGGGCCTCTTGTGTTCAGTGTGCCTAGCTGAATCTGTTGAGATGCCAAGGTTATCTTTTTCACCTGGGTCCTTGCTCAAAATTGTATAATACAGCTGGAAATTTTGTGAGATGAGAATGTCTTTCCTAGACCAAGGAAGGCTTGCTTATGACTTGGCAAGAAACAGCAAGTTCTTGAGCTATAGCACTCCCCCACCTGTGTACCATGTGTATGTGCCACACATCTGCACCCACTGCACCACCTGAGGCACGCGGGGCCAGGGGAACCCATGCAAGTATTCTGATGTTCAAATTGTCTGTTGTGCTATGAATAATAAACTGCCTCAATGCAATGACAAAATATAATCAATCAACCCAAATTTGGTAAAGAAA